CAGCCAGGATTTTACACGTTTTGGTGCCAGCGACTCCATGTGCACCTCTGTGAATCACACTGAGGACAGAGCTCCTCACTGGCTTTGAGGGCAAGCAATGGACCTGTTTTGTTTGCTGCTTTATTTATTTAAATATTTTTATTTTTTTGACAGAGTGGACAGTGAGAGAAAGACAGAAAGGTCTTCCTTTTTCTGTTGGTTTACCCCCCAGTGGCTGCTACGGCCGGCACGCTGTGGCCGGCATACCACGCTGATCCGAAGCCAGGAGCCAGGTGCTTCCTCCTGGTCTCCCATGCAGGTGCAGGGCCCAAGCACTGGGCCATCCTCCACTGCACTCCCGGGCCAGCAGAGAGCTGGACTGGAAGAGGAGCAACCAGGACAGAATCCGGCGCCCTGACTGGGACTAGAACCCGGTATGCCGGTGCCGCAGGCGGAGGATTAGCCTATTGAGCCACGGCGCCGGCCTTGTTTGCTGCTTTATATTCTCAGTGCTAAGTACAGTGCCTGACACAGTATGTTCAACAAATTTACTTGGAAGGAAAAAAAAGGAGGGAGAGAGAGCAGAAAGGAAGGAATGGAATTCCCCACTGGGGCTGGAAAGATATTCGATTACCTTTCTCCAGAGCAGGGCCGTGGAACATCAGGCCCCTGTGCCACATAACAGCCATGAATCTTCTGGTCTGGCCCTGCCTAGGCAACTGTAGGCAGGACTTAAAATTCAGTTAATCAGGACTGGTGCTGCGGCATAGCGGGTGAAGCCACCGCCTGCAGCGCTAGCATCTCATATGGGCACTGGTTCGAGTCACGGCTGCTCCTCTTCCAATCCAGCTCTCTGTTATGGCCTGGGAAAGCAGTGGAAGATGGCCCAAGTCCTCGGGCCCCAGTGCCTGCATGGGAGACCCGGAAGAAGCTCCTGGCTCCTGCCTTCGGACTGGCTCAGTCTGGCTATTGCAGCCAATTAGGGAGTGAATCAGCAGATGGAAGACCTCCCTCCCTCACTTGCTCTCTCTCTCTCTGTCTCTGCCTCTCTGTAACTCTGCTTTTCAAACACATAAATAAATCTTTTAAAAAAGCCTATTAAAAAGAAATTCAGTTAATCTATAGAAAAGTAATTTTGCATTTGATCATTTTGTATGGCTCATGAATGATGTTATAAGTATCCAAAAGGCCCTTGGCAGAGAAAAGGCTCCATACTCCATTCTAGTGGCAAAACTGGAAGGGTTAAGAATGGTTCTTAGGGGGCCAGCATTGTGGCGTAATGGGTTAAGCAATTACCTGTGACACCAGCATCCCACATGAACATGAGTCAGAGTCCTGGCTGCTCCACTTGAAATCCAGCTCCTTGCTAATGCACCTGGGAAAGCAGCGGATGATGGCCCAAGTGCTTGGGCCACTGCTCTGACAGGGGAGACTCTCAAGTCTGGCTCCCGGCTCCTGACTTTGACCTGGCCCAGCCCTGGCCACTGTGGTCATTTAGGGAGTGAAACAACAGAAGGAAGATCACTCTCTCTGTGACTTTGCTTTTCAAATAAATACAAAAACCTTAAAAAAAAAAAAAAAAGAAAGAAAATAACGGATTGGATAAATTTGATTAAGTGATAGTTTTTATAATTTTTTATCTACTTATTTTCATTTGAAAGACAGAGAGAGATAGCTTCCATTGAACGATTCACCCCTCAAATGCCCACAACAGTTCCGGTTGGCCCAGGCAGAAGCCATGAGCTCAAAACTCAATCTGGGTCTCCCACGTGGATGTCAGGAACCCAAGTACCTGAGCCATCATCAACCACTCCTGCCTCCCTGGGGTGCACAACTCAAATCAAGTGCTGTGATACAGGATGCATCCATGCTAAGTGGAAACCTAAATGCTAAGCTGAACACCCAGCCTAGCCCCAGTGTTTAAAGACAGGAAGTATACATCAGTATTTTGTCCATGGGATAATTCTGAGCTCAAACCACAGAAGCAGGTTCAATGTAGGAAGTCTGAGGTATTGGGACTAGAGCCAGCAGGAGAACGGGGAGGCAGGAAAGATGAGGACAAATGGAAAATCACAAGCACAAATTCAAGAAAGCCAGCAGCTGGGTTTAATGCTTGTTTCTAGATGCCTTCTATGCATGGGCAAAGCAAGGCTTTGGACCGAAACCACACAGAGTGGCTCCGGATAGATAGATAATGCCCAAACCTGAACAAATTGGAATTCTTGTGAGAAGCCACTTTCCCGTGAGTGTGGTCGAGTCTGGGTACACTAAGGAGACTGTACTAATGCAGACTGTGCAGGACCACAGTGCCAGCCTCCACAAACAAGCCCTTCCTTTCTCTCCATCTCTAGAGCATCTCGTTTTGAAATTCAACATTGTGAACCAATGTTCCCAAGCTCTTACCCTACACATTGCTCCTTCCACTTCCTTTCCTTGATCACCAGCTCTCCCAGTCATGATTTCAAATGACAAATGCTAAAAATTATGAGCAAATACTGTTATATATTTAATAGGTGCTGGGAGTGATTAATGAAATTGCTGAATCTCAAGGAAGACCTTTTTAGTCCTAAATTCCTTCTGAAAATACAAGAGTTGAACTAAATATTCTCTAAGGTAAACCATCAGAACAATGACAAGGGCAGGCCTACCACATGCATCATAAACTATCACTTCTAGTGTATTACTGGAGACAACAGAGGGAATTCAACACATGTCTGCAGTCAACTGATTCTGATATACACATACTTTCAAAATATTTACTTATTTTCATCCACTATAAAAAGTAGAATGACAAGAGTTCTTCCATATGCTGGTTTTCTCCCCAGATTTCCACAACAGCCAGGACTGGGCCAGGACAAAGTCTGGAGCCTAGAACTCCACTTGGGTCTCTGTGTGGATGGTAGGGACCCAAGTACTTGAGTCATCACCTGCTTACTTCTAGGGTGTACATTAGAAGGGCAATGGATTGGAAGCAGGGTCAAACCACTCTTCAACATGGGATGTGGCATCCCAAGCAGTGGTTTAACCTGCTGCACCACAAGCCCTGTCCTAATCAAAAAGAATTGTTTCTAAGCTTTAATATAAATTGCTTGTGAACTCAACATTGAGGCAGCAGTGACGGCTCAAATGCTTGGGTCCCTGCCAACCACATGGAAGACCTGGGTAGAGTTCCTGGCTCCCAGCTTTGGCCTGGCTCAGGCAGGCTGTTTCAGGTATTTGATAAGTGAATCAGTAGATGGAAGCTCTCTCTCTCTCCCTCTCAATCTCTCTCTGTTGCTCTGCCTTTCAAGTAGATATAAATATATAAATAAACATTAACTAAAAATAATATTTCACATGCTTGTATATCAAACTTGCTGACGGAAGTTCGGGAAGCCAACCAGCAACTCACAGATGAGGGGACAACTGATGCAGTAAAGAGGAAAAAAACCTGTGCTTCCTGAGGTGGGTGTTCCTTTCTCTAGTTTTCCAAACGACCTCTCTCTTCCCCTTTCTCACACACTCACACTTTCTCCCTGTGTCTTAGCTCTTATTTCGAGTTTGGTAGGTCTACCCTGGCTGATCACCCGCGCTTGAGTACCTCACTCTCCAACACTCCTTTGCACATTGCTACCCCTCATTTCCCCGCATGCCTCACCAGTTTGAAGATGAGGTATGCCTTCCTCGGTGCCTGGGTCATCATCAGTGTACAGACTCTGGGAGGCATCTGTCTTGGGTGGTGGCCTTGGTATGAGCCTGTTGGAAGTCGAAGCTTCCGCAGCTGAGAAGCAAAGAGTCCTGGGTTACCCTCAAGGTGAGACTCAGGGAGGAGCACTCCTTCCTCCCGTTCATTTTCTGACTCTCAGCTGTCCATGACACTCTTTCCATAAATCCAGTGAAAAATAAGAGAAGCAGTGACTCTTCTCAACAACCATCTTTCGTCCAAAGCAATCTATCCCTCTGACATAAATGGGAAAAGCAGAACACAGCCAGATACTTGCCGAGGAAGAGGTCATTTTACCTTGGGGCTTGACTGACTTTACAGGTTTGGGGTGTCAATGACAGTGGGAACTGGGACTCCCAGAGGTGAGCCTAGACTAAGGACCCAGAAGCCAACAGCCAGCTCGTGGGCTCTGCCTCTGGTTCTCTCTCAGCTCCCAAATCCTCCTTACCTGCTTGGGCCTATCCACACACTTATGCAGGTGCTTGTGTTAGGAAAAGGTAAGACAAGGGAACACACCTGGCCACTTGCCCCTGACGCCTGCTCTGAGACTCCCATCCAAGAACCCAGGCAGTGCGCAGGAGCACCGTCAGGAGACTCAGGTACCTGTGCTTTGAGGAGTCCTGACTACCTGGTGAGACCGAATCACACACATGAAAAATTTCAGATGAAATTCCTCTTCACGCATGGCTGTCTCCTAGAGAGACAGAATTAAGTCCAAATGAGCAGATCGCGCCATGATTAGGTGTCCATGACTGGCAGGAGCAGGTATGTCCAACGGTACCGGCACGAGGCCCTAGCGTGGAGCCATCCAAGACACTGGCGCGCCAGGTGGCCCTCACCAGCCCGCCTCAGCACCGCGGGACAGGCCTGGTCAGGCAAGGCCCGCCAGTCTGAATGAACCAACAAGCGGACCCCCTCAGCATGGCACGGGCTGCAGGTCAGCCAGTGTGCTCCCGGAGCGAAGGCCCGGGTCCACCCAGGAAAGCAGGCCTGCGTTTCCACACGCCGCCAGGGCCGCCCCCAAAGCGCCCCCCGCGCCCCCGACTTAATCAAGCGCGGTGCGCTGCCAAGTGAGGAACCTGCTAGCCTCAGTCAGCTCTGACTGCCTCTTCTCGAGTGCGCACGCTCTGTAAGCCTCCACGGGACCCGCCACAAACTGAGACCTATCGGGACCCCGGGTCCCCTCCTCTCAGGGCAGCCGCCCGCAAGTTCCCGCAGATCCCGGGCCGCCAACGGGCTGCCATGGAAACCGCAGCGCGAGCCGGGACGGCGGGGCGGAACCAGAGAGCGGCGGGTAAGGGGGCCGAGGGACAGAGAAAAGCAAGGACCAAGGGCGCGCCAAGTATTCCGAGCCTGAGGAAGAGAAACAGCACAAGCAGGGGGCAGCAGGGAAGTCGTGACCGCAGCAGTCAACGCTCCCTCGCCTTCCGAGGCCTCGCCGCACCGCGCAGGCGTCCCGCGGGCCCCGGAGCCCGCTGACCCGCCCCCCCCGCCGCTGTCGCCAGCGGGCCTTCCGGCGTTGTGAAAGCGGTTCCGGTTCGCGGAGGTTCCCGGGTTTTGCGTCCCGCGACCGGCCGGAAACCCCCTCGCATAGCAGCCGGTTCCGGTTCGGTGAGTGGCGGCGGGAAGCAGGGGGAGGGGGAGGATGGCGGGAGCTGGGCCGCGAGGCCGAGTCGGGCCGCCTGGCCCCGGCCGGGAGGGGGCGAGGCGGCGTCGGGCCGGCGCGTCCCCCCGGCCCCGCCCCCGGCGCCCCTTCCCCTGGCGCGCCGCGCGGCGGCCGCGGGCCGGCGGGTGGCGGTTCGCGGGCGCCGCGAGGCCGGGGGTCCGCGCGCCGCGCCGCCGACTGCGGCCCCACTCGGCGCCGCCCCCCGGTGGGGCTTTCCCGCCGGAGCGGGGCTCCTCCCTCGGGGCGCTCCGCGCGGCGCGCCCCCGCTCACCTCTTGCCTGCCTTGACCCAGTGATGGCTCGCGACTGCTCGTGCGTGCCGCGCGCGCCTCTCCCCTGCGCGGTTGCCCGGCGGTCCCTCCCCGAGATGTGCGACCGCTAGTGCCGCCGCCAGACAGAGACGCCGGACGCCCCTGCCCAGGCGGGAGACCCGCTGACCCGGCTCATCGCCGCCCGGTAATTCCTGGGGCGCCGCCTCCCCGGCGACCCCGACGTGAGCCCTCCGGATCCGAGCAGGTCCCGAGCTTGGTGATTTCTGCTTATCAGCGCCTCTGCAGGATTCCCACTATCTGGCCGGCAGTAGCCGGCTCCTTTATCACTTTGGAGTCAGCCTCGTTAGTTGTTGCGGTTCACGTGGAGTTCACGCATTGTGTTCGGGGGCGGTGGTGATTCCTTGAAATCTACCGAAAGCCGCGGGTGGGGGCTCACGACTCTGGCCGGGGTCTTTGTTGGCGTGGGCTCTTCCGGGCGGGGGAGAGCTCCCCATCCCCTCGGTTTTGGCCGCGCCGACTCTGACTCGGGGGTCTCGAGCCTCTGCTGAGATGCGCTCCCTTCACCTTCCCCCGGCCGAGGGACCGACCCCTCCCCCTGCGTCGTGGAAGCTTCATTCCTGCCTGTTCAGTTAATTACCCCACTGGTGTCTGTTCGCTGAGGGGTGAAGTCAGGGGGTGGATGGCACACAAACAGGTTCTGCTGCTTCTGGCTACGGTGATGTAACTCCTGGCTGCGGCCCCGCAAGTCCCCCACCTGCGCACCTAGGAAGGCCCCGCCTCACCGTCCCTGGCTTCTCCCAGGCAGAGACCTGCCCTTGCTCTGTTGGTGTCCCCTGCAACCGCCCGTGCAGCTGGTGCACAGTGTATGTCCGTGCATGTTAAATAGCCAGTGCTTAGGACCTTCAAGATGCTAGGGGCCAACTGGGAGAGATGACCGAGGTGGGCGGGTGTGGTACAGTGTCATACACACAGTTGCTTCCCAGGGTAGAGTGATACCCTAAATTGTCCCAGCCTCATCTTGGTCCTGGGTAGTGTGGATTTCACGGTGCCTGCCCTAAGTACATGTTTTCGACTGACTTCATTATAGCCTAAACAGTCTCAATTGTAATCCCCTCTTTGTGTGAACTCAGACATGTTTTCCTGTACATTTACACTATGTTACAGTCAGAACTGTATCATTTTTTAAATTTTCAATTAATTATCTTTTTTTTTTTTTGACAGGCAGAGTGGACAGTGAGAGAGAGACAGAGAGAAAGGTCTTCCTTTGCCGTTGGTTCACCCTCCAATGGCCGCCGCGGCCGGCGCACCGCGCTGATCTGATGGCAGGAGCCAGGAGCCAGGTGCTTTTCCTGGTCTCCCATGGGGTGCAGGGCCCAAGCACCTGGGCCATCCTCCACTGCACTCCCTGGCCACAGCAGAGAGCTGGCCTGGAAGAGGGGCAACCAGGACAGAATCCGGCGCCCCGACCGGGACTAGAACCCGGTGTGCCGGCGCCGCTAGGCGGAGGATTAGCCTAGTGAGCCGCGGCGCCGGCCCTCAATTAATTATCTTTTGCTCAGTTTCTAATCTGATTCACCTCAAATACTGTAATTGTTTACATCCTTTTTGGTTTTTTGGACAGGCAGAGTTAAAGACAGAGAGAAAGGTTTTCCATTTTCCATTGGTTCACCCCCCAAAATGGCCACCACGGCCGGCGCACTGCACCCATCCAAAGCCAGGAACCAGGTGCTTCCTCCTGGTCTCCCATGCGTGTGCAGGGCCCAAGCCCTTGGGCCATCGTCCACTGCCCTCCCGGGCCACAGCAGAGAGCTGGACTGGAAGAGGAGCAACTGGGATTAGAACCTGGGATGCCGGCGCCGGCCGCTTACATCCTTTCAGTAAATTAAATGATCAGTATGTACAAGGAAATTACTAAAATTGTTTTTAAGAGAAAAAATTTTTTATTTAAAAACTTACGTATTTATTTGAAATGGAGAGTTACACAGAAAAAGATTTTTCCATCTGCTAGTTTACTCCCCAATGGCTGCATAAACTAGGGCTGGGCCAGGACAAAATCAGGAGCCAGAAGCTCCTACCAAGACACCTATGTGGGTGGGAGGGGCCCAAGCACTTGGGCCATCTTCCATTGCTTTCCACAGCACATTAACAGGGAGCTGGATTGGAGGTGGAGTAGCTGGGACTCAAACTGGAGCTCACATGGGATGCCAGCTCTGCAAGTGGTGGCTTAACCTGCTATACCAAAGTGCTGGTCCCGAGGGAAAAAAAATTTAATTCGAAAGCCAGAGAGACAAAGATAAAGAATCTTCCATCTGCTGGTTCACTCCCCAAATGGCCACAACAGCCAGAGCTGGGCTGATCCAAAGCCAGGAGCTTCTTCCTAGTCTCCCACATGGGTACAGGAGTCCAAGGACTTGGACCATCCTCCACTGCTTTCCCTGGTGCATTAGCAGGGAGCTGGATAGGAAGTGGAGCAGCGGGAACTCAAACCAGCATCCCTATGGGGTGCTGGCACTGCAGGTGGCAGCTTTACCTGCTATGCCATAGCACCGGCCCCTGGGGAAAATTCTTATACTTGAAAGCATTTGGTGGTCTGAAAGGTGCCAGATCCAGCATTGCATGGAAATTCTTGGGGTGAAATACTCCCTCTCCCAATTTAAGTGCAAACTGGCAAAAATGAACCACTGATGGCACACTAGAGAAGCCAGATAGGTTTGTATGACCCTGTAAATGTAGGGCTTTAATTGTTTAAAGTGATAAATCGGTGTGGAGTCCCAGGTTTAGCTAAGCATTACTTGCAAACTATACGGTCTTTGCATGAGGATGGGTTAAAGGAAAGGAAGTGTGAGGTTGGAAATGTGCATTTTCCCTGGGTCTTTCCTTGGTTCCATCTCGGTGACTTCAGATGGCTCATTTAACCTTTTTGGGCATAATCTCTGGGTTTCTAACTTGCTTTCCTCTTCACATCTATGTCAGCAAAATGCAGAGGGCAGTAACATTGGATTGTGGTGCTGGACTTCAAACTTTTAGATTGGCATCTTCTTAATAAAAAAAATAAAAAAAAAAAAACACAAAGAAGTTGAAGTGACCTGAAAGAGTGAAACATGGAAAAAGCACTAATTTACTGATTGATGTGATTTTCTCCCTTAATGTGGAACCCAGGGAATTCTCCATTAAAAGAAGAGAGAAAGGGAAGAATGACCTGGAGAATTTACACATAGAAGCCTTTTTTTAGGTTGAACATTTGGAAATGCACTTGAAGCCTAAATCTAAGGCCTAGATTCTGTGGGGATCCTGTCTGGCAGGACTAGGTAATGAGGTGGTGATAACTGTGCTTGGCTGTCACCCTCCCTTTGTGCGTGTCCTTCGCCATGGCGACCATGAAGCACACCCGTCCCGTCAGCGACATTGGTGCCCTAGGACTGGTGTGAGGATGAGGTCGTGCTCCATCCTTTTCACAGAGGCTGTTGAGATCCTGTATAGATGCAGGTGTGCTGTCTCTTCCAAGAAGCAATGTGCCAAGGGCACATCTATTAACCTAGGTTCAAGAAGTTAGGTTTTTCACTTCTGTTTTTCTGGAAAAAGTGAATACATCAGAAGAGAAAGTATTTTTGTACAACAGTCCCCTTTACCCAAGGTTTTGCTTTCCATAGTATTAGTTACCCATGATCAGCTCTGGTCCAGAAACATTAAGGGAAAGATTTCCTATGTTTTTAAATATTTATTTGTTTCTTTGAAAGGCAGAACAACCAAGAGGGGCATGTGGGCCGGGGTGGGTGGGGAATAGATTTTTACCATTTGCTAGTTCACTCTCAGTTGGCTACAACAGCCAGAGCTGGGCCAGGCTGAAGCCAGGAACTCCCATCTGGGTCTCCCACATAGTGACAGGGGCTCAAGGACTTGGGCTATCTTCCACTGCCTTCCCAGGTTAGCAGGGAGCTGGATTGGAAGCAGAGTAGACAGGACTTGAACCAGTGCTCTGATATGGTACGCTATTGTCATAAGTGGCATTTTAACTCCCAGTGGCTCAACACCTGCCCCTTGATTATTCTGTATTTTGAGAGACCATATTCACGTACTTTTCTTGTAGTATATTGGTAGAATTGTTCTGTTTCATTGTTTGTTACTCTGTAACTGTGCCTAATTTATGTTGGAACTTTACATCAGCTGTATGTATGAGTGCACTTAAGAAAGTTTATGGGAAAATAAGATTTTGAAATCCATGCAAACCAGCAGTTTTAAAAAATTTGTGGAGGGGCCAGCGTTGTGGATTTAACAGGTAAAGCCACCTGCTGCAGTGCTGGCATCGCATGAGGGCACCTGAGTCCTGGCTGCTCCGCTTCCAATCCAGCTCCCTGTTTAATATGCCTGGGAAAGCAGCAGAGGATGGGCCCAAGTGCTTGGGCACCTGCACCCTCATGGGAGACTTGGAAGAAGCTCCTGGCTCCTGGCTTTGGCCTGGCCCAGCTGTGGCCATTGCAGCCATTTCAGGAACAAACCAGCAGATGGAAGACCTGTCTCTCCCTCTCACTCTGCCTCATTCTCTTTAACTCTGCCTTTCAAGTAAATTTTTTCAAAAATTGTGGTAAGCACATAGTCTGGAAAAACTATGCATGCATTTCATTTTTTCTTGTTCCAAAATAAACTTCTTTAAATTCTAGTTGCTATGACCTTTTTGAAGTATTTTTTTTTTTTTTTAAGATTTATTATTTATTTGAAAGAGTTACACAGAGGAGAGGCAGAGAGAGAGAGAGACATCTTCCATCCACTGATTCACTCCCCAATTGGCTGCAACGGCTGGAGCTGCATAGATCTGGAGCCAGGAGCTTCCTCCAGATTTTCCCACATGGGTGCAGGGGCCCAAGGACTTGGACCATCTTCTGCTGCTTTCCCAGGCCATAGCAGAGAGCTGAATTGGAAGTGGAGCAGCTGGGACTTGAACCGGTGCCCATATGGGATGCCAGCACTGCGGGCAGTGGCTTTACCCAGTATGCCAGAGCACCAGCCCCTGGAGTACTCTCTTACAGGAGAAAACAGGATATCTAGGGTTCGGCATAATCTGCAGCGCCCCGTATCCACTGAGGGGCCATACTTTGTAGGCAGACGGGCTTTGATTTGTTGCAGTTTAATTGATGAGGTGGGGGGAGATCATGCTCTGTTCAAACTGTGGAACATTCCTGCCTGTCCTCTTGGTATCAGTAGCTTTATATTTGGCCCTGAGTACCATGTATGGAGAGAACTCTTTAAAAATAATTTTTTTAAAAAAAATTTTATTTTGAGGGGGCCCGCGCCATGGCTCACTTAGTTAATCCTCCACCTGCAGTGCCGGCATCCCATATGGGCGCCGGGTTCTAGTCCCGGTTGCTCCACTTCCAGTCCAGCTCTCTGCTGTGGCCCGGGAGGGCAGTGGAGGATGGCCCAAGTGCTTGGTCCCTGCACCCGCATGGGAGACCAGGAAGAGGCACCTGGCTCCTGGCTTTAGATAGGTGCAGCGCCGGCCATAGCGGCCATTTGGGGAGTAAACCTTTCTGTCTCTCTCTCTCTCTCTCTCTCTCTATAACTCTGCCTGTCAAATAAATTTAAAAAAATTTATTTGAAAGGCAGTGTTAACAGAGAAAGGAAGAGTCAGAGAGACAGGGAAGTTTTCCATTTGCTGGTACATTCCCCAATTGGCCCCCATGGCTGGGGCTGGGGCAGGCGAAGTCAGGATTGTGGAACTCCACCTGGGTCTCCCATGTAGGTGGTAGGGACCCCAGTACTTGAACCATTTTCTGCTGCTTTCCCAGGCTCATTATCAGGGAGCTGAATCACAAGTGGAGCAGCCGGGACTCAAACCAGTGCCCATGTGGGATGGCAGCATTGCAAGTGATGGCTTAACCCTGCTGTATTCATAAGGGCCATCATTAGGTCTTTCAGTTGTTCATAAAATAGTTCAGCATAACAGAAAGAGCAGTGGGTCAGGAAGAACCTAGGTTGTGACTTCGGTACAGTCATATGTTTTGGGGGTGACTCTCACAGCTTGGCTGCTTGCTTTGGAATTCTGGAGATTGGCTGTGACTGCTGTTTGGTGTAGCACAAGTTTCAAAAATGTTTGGAAGCATCTCAGACCATAGTTCCCTCTCTTTTCCCTTAAAGTCAACCCTCCTTGCCATAACCTTAGGCTTGTCACTACTGAAGAGACAAGCAGCTGATACTTGCTAGTGGCTTCATGTTCTGTAATTAAATGAAGTGGGTGTGTTTCAGTATGTAATGTTTCTCTTTTGTGTCTTTTTTTATAGGACTTTGTATCTTTGGTAAAGTCAGTGATGTGAAAAGACCTGACATGGGTAAGACTAACCATAAAGTAGTGGTTCAGTTTTTTAGTTGCCCTGATTAATTTTTTAAGATTTCTTTCTTTATTTGAAAGGCAGACTTACAGAAGGAGAAAAGACAGATATTCCATCTGCTGATTCTAAAATGGCCAGGGCTGGCAGTGTCAAAGTTAGGAGCCCAGAATTCTGTCTGGGTTTCCTATGTGGAAAACAGGGGCCCAAGCACTTGGCCATCTTCTGCTTCTTTCCCAGGTGTATTACCAGGGAGCTGGATCGGAAGCGGAACAATCAGGACATGAACCAGCGCTTACAGGGGATGCGAGCATCACAGGCAACAGCGTAACTGGCTGTGCCACAGTGCTGTCCTCTCTGATTGCCTTTTTTTTTTTTTAAGATTTATTTTATTTATTGAAAGAGTTACAGAGAGAGGTAGAGAGAGGAGAGGTCTTCCATTCCCTGGTTCACTCCTCAAATGGCTGCAACAACCAGAGCTGAGCTGCTCCGAAGCCAGGAGCCAGGAGCTTCTTTTGGGTCTCTCAAGTGTTACAGGGGCCCAAGGATCTGGGCCATCCTTGCTGCTTTCCCAGGTGCTTTAGCAGGGAGCTGGATCAGAAGTAGAGCAGCTGGGACTCCAACTGGAGTCCATATGGAATGCCAGTGTGCATGCCGGGGCTTTAACCCTCTGTGCCACAGCACAGGCCCCATTTTTTTAAAGTACTTTTTTGAGTTAGCAGAGAGGAAATAAGGCAGTGTTAACAGTGTTTGTTTCTGAATGGTGAACATTTCCTCTGACTTTTTTAAAAATATTTTTATTTTGTATTGTTTATTTGAGAGTTACAGAGAGAGGGAGAGCCAGAGAGAAAGGTCTTCATCAGCTGGTTCACTCCCCAAATGGCTGCAGTGGCTGGAGCTAGGCAGATCTGAAGCCATGCATCAGGAGTTTCTTCTCCCTAGTCTCCCACGCAGGTGCAGAGGCCCAAGCAGCTGGGCCATCTTCTGCTGCTTTCCCAGGCCATTAGCAGAGAGCTGGATCGAAAGGGGAGCAGCCGGGACATGAACCAGTTAAGTAGGCAGCGGCTTAACCCACTACACCACAGTGCTGGTCCCACCTGCTCCAATTTCTTTTATATGAAAACTGGGAAAATTTCATGATTATTAAAACTTAAGACTATTTTTGTGAACTATTTGATGTGTAATCTGAGTTCCAGACAAGCTGGTTTCTGTATATGGACCTCTTTAGACAATGACTTTTTTTTTTTGCCAGTGACTAGGTATGAAGCAGAGGCGTGGGTGGGGGTATGTTTGTAGAGATGATCTTTGTGAATCGTTTTTGTTAGATGAGAAAGTGGGTTTGTAGGTAAAAAGTGTTGAAGAATTACATGGCTTGAGCTGATGGGGTCTCTCTCCTCAGATGATCCTGCTGACAGGGTGAGGATGGATGCTGGCGAGGTGACGGTCGTGAACCACGGCTCCATCCTCAAATCTCACCTCCTGCCACAGACAGGCGTTCCCGAGGACCAGCTTTCACGTTCTGACCAGCAGGTTAGGAACAATTTTCTTTCATTAATTCATCGATTATTTTAGCTCATTGTAAGTTTTTGTCTGTAGCTTAAATGATGCACTCCACTTCAAGTGTTTCTAAATTTTTGAGAGTCAGTAATCTCAGTATTGGGAATTCTGCCTGATACATTGAGATTAACACAAGACAGGCTAGTACATGAGTTCTTTGAGAACAGTACCTTCTGGAGCATCTTTGTTGTTCCTAAGCGTTAGAGTTGCCAATACAGACATGAGTGTTCTTTTTAACTGGTGCCTTAGAATTGCCAAGACTTGGGGCTAGGGGTGGTGGGGAGGGAGCAAGCACACATCCCCTCTGAAGGTATCTGTTGTGCCCTCAGCTTCCTTTCTCAAGGTCTGGTCCAGGACTAGCTGGGTCAGTACACCTTGGGAGGTTGTTAGAAATGCAGATTCTCTCTTCCAGTCCAGCTCTCTGCTGTGGCCCGGGAGGGCAGTGGACGATGGCCCAGGTGCTTGGGCCCTGCACCTGCATGGGAGACCAGGAGGAAGCACCTGGTTCCTGGCTTCGGATCGGCGCAGCGCCGGCCGTGGTGGCCATTTAGGGAGTGAACCAATGGAGGGAGGACCTTTCTCTCTGTCTCTCTCTCACACTGTCTGTAACTCTACCTGTCAAATAAATTAAAAAAAGAAAAAAAAAAGAAATTCAGATTCTCGGGCCAGTGCTGTGGCTCAGCGGGTTAAGCCGTGGCCTGAAATGCCAGATCCCATATGGGTACTCATTCAAGTCCTGGCTGTTCCACTTCCAATCTGGCTCCCTGCTAGTGCACCTGGGGTTGCAGTGGAGGATGGCTCAAGTGCTTGGGCCCTTGTACCCATGTGGGAGACTTCTGATGAAGCTCCTGGATTTGGCCTGGCCTATCCCTGCCTATTGTGTCCATTTGGGGAGTGAACCAGCATACAGAAGATCTCACTCTCTCTCTCTATCTCTCCCTCCCTCCCTCCCCCTCTCTCTCTCTCTCTCTAACTCTGCTTTTCAAGTAAATTTAAAAAAAGAAACACAGAATCTCAGGCCTTACCCTCTACCTTTGAATCAGAATGTTGTATTTAACATACTTTTAAAAATATTATCATTTTAAATTTATTTGAAAGGCAGAGAGAGAGATCTTCCACCTATAGATTCATTCCCCAAATGTCAACAACAATCAGAGCTGTACCAGGCTGCAACCTGGAGTCTGGAATTGAATCTGGGTCTCCCACGTGGTGGCAGGGACTCGAGTACTTGAGCTGTCACTAACTCCCTGCCAGAGTCTGTCTTTGCAGGAAGCTGGAATCAGAAGCAGAGCTGAGACTCAAAGCAGGCACTCTGATATGGGGTTGAGGGGTTTGTAAGTGGAATCTTAACTCCTGCACCAAATCCCTACCCCACGATCTGTATTTTGTAAATATCCCAGGAACATTGTTAATACAGGCGCCTTTCTCATGAGAAGAGCCATTTGTAATTTGGGTGAGGTAATTCTTCTGTCTGAACCTGTCCTGGGCAGGGTAGGGTACTATGCATTCTTGGCCCCCCAGCATTTAAAATCCAGCATCTCCCCCTGCAGCCCAGTAGCTTTGCTGATGACTGCTTACTTGCATGTTTCCAGATTTGTCTTGGGAGCACAGCACCACCTCTGATGACAACTATAAAGTTATCACAAGAATTAAAAACCAGCTTGGTTGGCCGGCGCCGCGGCTCACTAGGCTAATCCTCTGCCTAGCGGCGCCGGCACACCAGGTTCTAGTCCCGGTCGGGGCACCGGATTCTGTCCCGGTTGCCCCTCTTCCAGGCCAGCTCTCTGCTGTGGCCAGGGAGTGCAGTGGAGGATGGCCCAGGTGCTTGGGCCCTGCACCCCATGGGAGACCAGGAAAAGCACCTGGCTCCTGGCTCCTGGCTCCTGGCTCCTGCCATCGGATCAGCGCGGTGCGCCGGCCGCAGCGCGCCAGCCGCGGCGGCCATTGGAGGGTGAACCAACGGCAAAGGAAGACCTTTCTCTCTGTCTCTCTCTCTCACTGTCCACTCTGCCTGTCAAAAAAAAAAAAAAAAAAAAAAAAAAAAAAAAAAAAAAAACCAGCTTGGTTTTCCCTGCCTCTTTCCTATTTGTTATAACTGGCTTTCAGGCTGGGTATCTAAATATGTAGTAACCTTTTAATAAACATTCTTTGAATTCCATAGTGTAACATTTTACCCATTTTTCTCACTGAAACCTGAATCATTTTATCAAAGTGTCCACATGTTTTCATTTTTTACTAGTATGTAGTTCACTTATAATGTACATAAATGTAACATAATTGATTATAGTAGATTCTAAAATGTGGCATCATCTTGTTTGGTAGTATGTTTTACTTAATGTAAACTTTTATTTTGTTTTGTTGTTAAGATGTAATTTAAGAAAAATCTTGTGCTTTGTTTAGATTTTACCTTCCAGGCAAGGAAATTTGGACCCATCTTTTATTTGCCCCACAAGAAGTACAGCTTACCACCCAAATTATGACTCAGGTAGGATGCTTTGCTTGGAGTCAAGACACATGTGTGTTTCAGGTTGCTCCCTAGCAAATGATCTATTTACCATTTCTAAAAGAAAAAATATTGTCAAAATCAAAAGGATGTTTTCTCACTAAAACAACATTTTAATAAGCATTTGGTGTGCGTGTATGTGGTTGCTATAAGACTTTGAGCTTGTCTCAACCAGATATTAATCTTTTAGTGGAAAACTTTTTTAGAACTTTTTCTTCTCGTACATTATGCCATTGTAAAAGCAGTGCAGCTTTGTTTTTTACCTTTATTTTGTGCATATGTGTATGTGATACAAAAGTGTGTGTTTTGTGTTGATTTGAAGCCATGAAACTTGGAAGTGTATCTCTGCCCAAGTTTGTTCCCCATCTCTGCAGGAAATGTTAACTGTGTGTTTCCATCCAGCACCTGCCACAGCCATGTGCTTGCCTAGGCAGCTTGTGAGACACCACAGAAGTCAGCATTCTCTAGGCTGTTCCTGTCCCTTGGCCTGCCTGCCTGAGCGCCTGCCCTTCTCCTAAGGTTGGGACTTCCACTAGTCCTTTGCCTCTGCCCAGGGAGCTGAGAATCCTGGTGCTTAGCCTCTTGGCAGTTTAAGTGAGGAGCGTCCCGATGGCCTTCCCAGGCCTTTTCACTTCTCAGACTTCGAGTCACTGTCACCCTGTGCCATAAATGTGGGGAGGCTAGTCATACCACTGAACTTGCCTAACTGGGGTTTTTGTAAGGGTAAATTGAATTGATAAATATGACATGAAATAATAATTATTCTTGTTATTTGGCTTCCTCAGGATTCTTTGTCAGCAAGATGAGATCTCCTCCCCTAAACAGACGTTAGTATGGTGCTCTCTTAGATTTGCATTATACTTAAATGTGACGTGGGTGGGTGGCACTTTACTACTCTGGTCACTGGAATCCCTCTCTTGGGGGTGGGCGGTGGTCTCTACATAGTATGTGCATAATTTACGGAAAATCATAAATTAATTTGCTCAGAAGGGAGCTGTGCTGTCGTTGTAATTGAAAAGGCCCTCACGCCTGCACTGTGGTGTGAATACTCATTACTGACCCTGAGAGGCGCAGGCGAGTACGTCCCTCTGAACACAGGCTGCACGTGCTTGTGACTTCGTGTGCCTGCTTCTCGCTGGGGAGAACCTTGCTGTAAGCTGAGAATGATTGCTTAATGATGAACTCCATTCTGACTACACTCATCTCTCTGTGGCTTCTCGATTTTTATCTCTGTGTAACATACATGGTGCACATTGTATAATTGGACACATCTTTAATTTAGTATTTCTACTTTTCCATCTCTTTAAATTTTTTTATAATTTTCTGTTGATTTCTAATTTGTGGAATTTTTAAGCACATATACCATCCCTAACGTACAATTCCAAAATCTTAAAGCTCAAAAAAATAAAATAAAAAAAAAAGGTTTAATCATTCATTTGGCATCAGTACCTGAACTGGCTTCATTCCTTGGCAAAATCTCCGTGAACTTACATGAAACTGTTTATCTTATTCATCTCTGATTGTCAGCGTTTCCACATTTTACTGCAGATAGATCAGTACTCAAAATGACAGGGTGCTAGAAATGTTACTTGGTATACAGGTTATCTTCCTCAAATTCCAAAAGTTAAAGTTCAGAAATAGGCTTTCTGATCCCAGATAATGGGCCTGTGCCTTCATTTGCTTCATCATTTGCCCTGTGATTTAGGTCCACTTTACCATTATCATTTGCAGCTAGTATTAATAATATTACTTTAAAGCACTTGTAAATTGCTTTTAAATTCCAGTAGACCCTTGATACTCACAAAGGATACATCTGAGGTCAGCTCCATCCTTGTGTTCCTGATGTGGCAATATTCGACTGGATTCCTCTGGTTTATTTTTCCTACCACAAATGATCCCTGTATCAAAAATCTGACAGTAATGTTTTCTCTCTCAGTTGATAGCAATTTTTAGGTAAAGAAAGAAATTACTTCATAATAGTTACTGTCTACATGATAATACCCAGAAACAACAAACTCATACTGAAATGGGGAAGCCAAACTCTCTGCCAGCCTCCCTCTCTCACTTAGAACTTGAAGCTTGGGCCTCTGTGAGATTCTATTTAGCCCCTAATGAAACAAGCTTATGGCACATTACAGACCTCAGGGATAACTCCCCAGCAGTTAGAAATTTAGGTCTGAATGCCAAGGCTCCATATGCTTTTTTCTTCATTGTCCATTGCAAGTCAACCGATGTCTGACTGCTACGCACTTTGTGTGTGTTCTTTTCTGGTGATACTCATGCTGATGTTTCTGGTCAGTCACATTCCTCCCTCTGGACAGGGCCGAATGTGCATCCTGCCCTGCCCGCCCAGTCTTCTGATCTCAGCTGGGTTATTTTCTAAGCTCTCACCTGACTGTCCCAGGATGAAAATGAGCTGGATGGGCCAGACTTTAGAGTCAGGATCTGGAGCTTCTCATTAGTTACCTTTTTTTTGGATCCACCTCTCTAGATCAAGGTTCTTAAAAACCTGTTTGTCAGTCCACTCAAGATTAGACTATGAAAAATCTGGTGCAACGTTGTCTTACTTTACTTAGTAGTGTTCAGGCTTCAAGACTCCCAGTTTTACCACCAACCCAGTAACAAAACATTTTTTAATCCTCAACCAAGAAAAGTGGATTCAATTGAAAGATGATTTTGCTTATGCTTAGAATTATTTTTAATGATAAATTAGGTTGCCAAGCTGGCAATGAGCAGTAAAAGGAATTAAAACACCCCACTATTGTAGTATTGAGTCCTAACATTAACATGAGCACCTGATGGTTACTTTCATAGTATCTGAGTCACTTGTTTTTTATGTAAAGTTTGCTTCATTCTTTTTTTGATTGTTTTTAAGGTTTATGTATGTATTTGAAAGGCAGAGTTACAGAGAGGAGAGAGAGATCGAGATCTTCCATCTGCTGGTTCACTCCCCAAATGGCCACAATAGCCAGGACTGAGCCAGGCCAAAGCCAGGAGCTTCTTCCAAGGCTCCCACATGGGTGCAGGGGCCCAAGCACTTGGGCCATCCTCTGCTGCTATCCCAGGCACATTAGCAGGGAGCCGGATCAGAAATGGAGCAGCCAGGACTTGAACTGGTGCCCATTTGGGATGCCAGCACTGTAGGCCCGGGGTTTAACCCATTGAGCCACAGTGTTGGCCCTCAGGTTTATTTTTTTCTGTCCATGAAAATTTTGCCTGTCCCTAAAGAAAATGTGTAGACCAAAGTCCAAAGATACATGTCATCCTATCATTGAAAACACAGCCGTAATTAAATTTGTGGTGTGTTTCCTTCTTGTTTTGTATGTGTGAGTGTGTGTGTATGCATCCTTTGCAATCCTGATTTCTTAGTAATGACAGAGTATCAGGTTTAGCCCTCACTAGGAAGAAAGTCCCTGCAGCCTCTCTCATTCTGTCTTTGCCTGATGCCATCAGCAGCAGAGGGCTGTGGGTGGTTTTGGGGAATTGGGAAGCCCACTGTCCCCCTCCTGTGCTGTGCTTTCCCTCTGTACTAGAGCTACAGATTTTACACCTGGTAGAGTAATTTGCATTTTTGACAGACTATTCCTCAGATAACACTTTTCAAGTTAGATTACTTCCCTAATCAGGTTTTAGCCAAAAGTTGTGAGACAAGATTTCTACTGTTAATACTATATATTTGTAGTTACTAATTTTCTGAAACTCATTTCTAGTAGCCTCACTTCTCTGTTCCTGAAGTATGAGTAGCATACTTAGTATGTTAAGCTCCTACCGGTGAATGAACTGGTACTAGTACCACCCGACTGCTTCCCTTGCCATCTTATTCATTCACTGAATCCTGATATCCTGGTTAATTTAAGAAATAACAAAACTGTGCTTTGGAAGGCTGCCTTAAATGCTGTAAACAGCATAAGTATACAATATTGTGTGAAGTTCTCTAGTAATAAGCTTTGAAAAGGGATCTTCAAAAAGATGTCAGCTTTAACAAAATTGAAGGAATCAAGAGTTTTCATTCTCGTTTTTCTCACTGGAGTTCCCAACAGTTCTTAAGCTAATATCTGAAGTTCCTTTAAAGGAGCTGCTTTAAATTTTCTGGTCCTGCTAATAAGGAGAGGAGTGCAGAAATTGTTCTACTACTCTCAGCTGAAATCTAAAGGGTTTTGTCACCCCAAGCTGTGATCCACACATAGAAAAATAATCTGTCTGATTGCATTCACAAGTGTTGGAGTATTCACGTGTCTGATGACAATGGCATGAAGTGACGGAAGAGTGTGGTCCCAGAACCAGGTGTATACGGTGGGTCGTGCTGCCCTGGGCCAGCCAGAGTAGGCTGCAGTTAGGGGGTGTTTGCTCTGTGAGAGTCCCTGAGTCTTGAACATGATAATTAAAAAGAAGAAAGTGACATCAGCTGCTTCTTAAGCGATAACTGTTGTTCATTTGAATTACATTCTCCTTGGCCCTCCGCCTGCTTTCTTACTGGTCTGGCCTACCTTCTTTCAGGCCCAGGCCTGGGAGTGCTTGCAAGATATAGTTGGGGTAAAATGTTGACTTTTGGTGGACACCACGGAGTCACATTGATGCAGATCAGGCACATGGCTGTGGCAGGATTCAGCTCCTTCACCCATTTTCAGGTTAGTATGGCTGAGTCGTCATAGTTTGTAGATGTTCCCTTGCTGCAGACTTAACTGGCAGTTCAGACTGGGACCTTTCTTCCATGAGAGACATGGTGATACGCTACATTACTTAGGAATACAGTGTTGGATGTTGGACATGGTTGCAGGCATTAGGAGAACCAGCTGTGGTTATTTGTTTAATTGTTCAAACTTTTTTGTTTTTTTAGACAACCCTTCCTTAGACAGTTTTCTTGGCTCAGGAGACTTAAGAACCTTTGGCCACAGTGCCAATGGACAGTGGAGAAACTCCACTCCCACGTCAAGTTCAGCTTTACAGAAATCAAGAAACAGCCGAAGTCTTTACCTCGAAGCCCGAAAGACCTCAAGGTTTGTTATTTTCTCTGCTTAGTTCTAAAACCCTTCCTCATATACAAGGGAAAATGGCTGTGGGTAGTTGTTATATTGGCATTTTGAAATTGTAGCACCCTTTTTGGATTTTAAAGTAGATGAGTCCATTTTCAACCTTCAACTTTAGATGTACTTGGTGCTGAATATCGGTGATAGCCAATTTGTACCTTTAGTAGAGAGGATTTGGGGGGAAGTCTTGGTGAGTATGAATGTATCAGGACCATTGTGGCTGTTAAATGTTTTAAAGGGAAGATCAGTCAGTCTGCACACTCCAGTAGCAGAGGGTAGTACAGCTCACTGCGGAGACCTGGCCCAGCCTGTGCGAGCTGTACCCTTTGCCTTGGTCAGCAGATGCAGGCTACCTCTGTCCACAGCACAGAAGGGCTGCGGAGAGCTTCATGAACCTCATTGTCTCGGCTCCTGAGCCCCTCCTGTGCAGCCCCTCATCTTCCCCTTCGTAATTTAATTTTAGTTATTCATGAGTTTATTAATTTACTCACATTGTGAAAATGGAAACATGACTAATAACTAAAGATTCCTTGATCACTACCCATAGTCTCATTCCTCTGCCATTGTGTGTTTTCTTCTAACACTTTTCTTGTTATGCTTGGTTCTTGCTCACTGCTGTAGCATGATATATGTGCTGTGAATATTGTGAATTCTGTGATGCTATTTTGTCATTAAAAATTTTCTACATGCATCATTCAGCAAGCGGCTCTTTTTTAAACTCAGTAATGCCATACATTTATTTATTTATTTTATTTCCTTTTATTTTATTTTATTTTACTTGAGAGACAGAATTTGAGAGAGATCTTCCATCCTCTGGTTCATCCCTCAATGGCCACGATAATTGGGGCTGGGCTAGGCTGAAGCCAGGAGCTGGAAATACCATCCATGTCTTCTACCTAGATGATAGGGGAGCAAGCACTTGGTTCATTTTCCCAGGAGCATTAGCAGGGAGCTGAATTGGAAGTGGAGCAGCTGGGACTAGAACTGGCACTCATATGGGATGCTGGCATCACCAGTGGCTTAATCTGCTGCACCAATTCCGTTCCTTTTTTAAAAATTTCATTATTACAGGAACAGCACATAGGCTTTGTAAAAATTCAGAAATAAAGATAAGCAGATACAAAATAAACGTATCACATTACAACCAGTGTAAGATCCACTCTGTAGTATCTTAATACATATCCTGGGGCTGGCACTGTGGCGAGTGGGTAAAGCTGCTGCCTGGTAGTGGCATCCCATATGGGCGCTGGTTCGAGTCCCTGCTGCTCCGCTTCCCATCGAGCTCTCTGCTGTGGCCTGGGAAAGCAGTGGAAGATGGCCCAAGTGCCTGGGCCCCTGCACCCCTGTGGGAGATCCGGAAGAAGCTCCTAGCTGCTGGCTTCGGATCGGCACAGCTCTGGCCGTTGCAGCCATGTGGTGAGTGAACCAGCGGATGGAAGACCTGTCCCTCCCTCCCTCCCTCCCTCTCTCTCTTTCTCTCTCTCTGCCTCTTTCTCTCTGTAACTCTGCCTTTCAGATAAATAAGTAAATCTTTGAAAAAAAAAGTACACATCCTTCCAGATAGTTTTCTCTGCCTTGACATACACATTTTTTTTTTCAAAAACAAGTTCGTTGCAGTATATACTCCGTTGTCATCTGCTTTTTTTAGTCATTCATCTCCTTTCCAATTCAATAAGCTTTATCTGATACACTAAATTATATTTAAATGTTCCCCATTGACTCCCAAGTATCTTCTAGAGTTAGTTTGTCCACACCATTGTCCATTCTAGGGTTCTATGTTGTAGTTAACTGTCCTTAAGTTTTTCTTTCAACAGTGGGGCTGGGCCAGACTGAAGCCAGGGTTTTCATCCAGGTCTCCTATGTGGCTGCATGGGTCCAAGGACTTGGGCCATCTTCTGCTGCTTCCCAGGCACATTAGCAGGGAGCAGGATGGGAAGTGGAGCAGCCAGGAATTGAACTGGCACCCATATTGCTTGCCAGCATCCCAGGTAACAGCTTTACCTGCTGTGCCGCAGCACCAGCCTAGGAGAATCCCTTTCTTTGTTTCTTTTTTTTTTTTTAAAGATTTATTTTATTTATTTGAATGACAGTTACATCGAGAGAGGTACAGATGGGGAGAGGTCCAAAACCAGGAGCTGGGAGCTTCTGTGTCTCCCACATGGGTGCATGGGCACAAACATTTGGGCCATCCTCCGGTGGTTTCCCAGGTGCCCTGTCAGGGAGCTGGATCAGAAGTAAAACAGCCGGGACGCCCACCAGTGCCCTTATGAGATGCCGGCGCTGCAGGCCAGGGCTTTAGCCTGCTGCACCATAGTGCTGGTGCCAGGAGAACCTCCCCCCACCTTTTTTAAAAGATTTTATTTATTTATCTATTTGAGAGGTAGAGTTACAGACAGTGAGAGGGAGAGACAGAGACAAAGGTCTTCCTTTCATTGGTTCACTCCACACATGTCCACCACAGCTGGAACTGTGCTGATCTGAAGCCAGGAGCCAGGTGCTTCTTCCTGGTCTCCCATGTGGGTGCAGGGTCCCAAGCACTTGGATCATCTTCTACTGCTTTACCAGGCCACAGCAGAGGGCTGGATTGGAAGAGGAGCAGCTGGGACTACAACTGGTGCCCATATGTGATGCTGGCGCCGCAGGCGGAGAATTAATCTGCAACACGGTGCCGGCCCCGAGAACCCCTTTCTAAGATGACGTGACTCTGTGGGTTGTGCCCCACCTTTGGGATTTGAAACATGGCTTCCTCGTGGTATAAAGCTGTGCTTTCCAGCCCCTGTGTTTTTTTGTAAACTAGACTTTGGGTTTGAGTAGGCAATGATGATGTGTTACATCACACTGGGAAGCAGATGATAACGCTGTTCAGGTTCTGTCGCTGGTGATGCCATGACTTCTGGACCAAGGGGATGAAAGTCTGGTCCATTGTTGTGGTTGGGTTTTCACTGTGAACAGATCAGCCTTCTGTCTAGTAGCTGTTAATGTCAGTTGATAGTCCTCACCTGACTTGGTTTCATTAGAGTTAATAAAATGGTGTTTTTCCAATTTCATCACTTCTGTGCTTAGGAATCGAGCCCTCTGGTTGCTCTTTGATTTGCTGAAGCTGTTTGGCTACCCTGAAGTGGGTTCCTCGGGGAAATGCAGGAGAATGGCTCAATCTTTTCTTGTTTCATTGACAATTTTCAAAGTGATTTTAAAAATAGCCAGTTTGGCCGGCGCCGTGGCTCACTAGGCTAATCCTTCGCCTGTGGCGCTGGCACTCCGGGTTCTAGTCCCAGTCGGGGCACCGGATTCTGTCCCGGTTGCTCCTCTTCCAGTCCAGCTCTCTGCTATGGCCCGGGAAGGCAGTGGAGGATGGCCCAAGTGCTTGGGCCCTGCACCCGCATGGGAGACCAGGAGGAAGCGCCTGGCTCCTGGCTTCATATCGGTGCAGCGCGCCGGCCGTGGTGGCCATCTTGGGGGTGAACCAACAGAAGGAAGACCTTTCTCTCTGTCTCTCTCTCTCACAGTCTAACTCTGCCTGTAAAAAAAAATAGCCAGTTAGTTTGGTTCAAATTATCTTTTTTCTGTGTTTTTTTGGATGTCATTATAGATTCAGTGTGTTTCAGTCCACTACCATTGTAACTTCTTTAGTGCTCTTCTCACAGTTTTGACCCATAGGAGCCCCTTGAGGCTTGCCTACAGTCTCGTTAATTTTTGGTCGTACCCTTGCTTTCTGGCATTGTAGGATGCCTTTGCACTGTTTCTATAGCAAAATCTTTTTCAGGGGCCAGTGCTGTGGTGTAGAGGATTAAGCCTTCACCTGCGGTGCCAGCATCCTGTATCAGCAATGGATCAAGTCCCAGGTGCTCTGCTTCTGATCCAGCTCCTTCCTAATGTGCCTGGGAAAAGCCGTGGAAGATGGCCCAAGTGCTTGGGCCCCTGCACCCACGTGGGAGACCCAGAAGAAGCTCCTGGTTACTGGCTTTGGCCTGGCCCAGCCCCAGCCATTTAGGCCATTTGAGGAGTGAACCAGTGGATGGAAGATTCTCTCTCTCTACTTCTACCCTTTCTCCTCTCTATATCTACCTTTCAAATACATTTTTTTTTTTTTGAAAGATTTATTTATTTGAAAGTCAGAGTTACACAGAGAGAGGAGAGACAGAGAGAGGGAGAGAGGTTTTCCATTCCATGGTTCACTCTCCAACTGGCCGCAATGGCCAGAGCTGTGCTGATCCGGAGCCAGAAGCTTCTTCCGGGAATCCCACACGGGAGCTGCACTGGTCCAAAGCCAGGAGCCAGGAGCTTCTTTCGGGTCTCCCACACGGGTGCAGGAACCCAAGGACTTGGACCATCCTCATTGCTTTCCTAGGTGCATTAGGAGGGATTTGGATCAGAAGTGGAGCAGGCAGGACTCAAACTGGCGCCCAAATGGCATGCTGGCCCTGCAGGCCAGGGCTTTAACCCACTGCTCCACAGCACCAACCTCTCAGATAAATAAATCTTTAAACAAACAAATAAACAAACATTGCTATCCTTTAAAAAAAAAAAAAAAGTCTTTTTCATTATAAACACAGATGTGCTCACTCTGGGAAGACATCCTGGAAACTCCATTCTGTCATCCCCAGTTACATTGCCCTTGCTGTCTCTTCCTATCTGCATCTATCCTTCCTAAAATCTGAGTTCTTCTTTAACACACACACACACACACACACACAGACACACACACAGACCCCACCATAGTAAGAATTAGAGTAGAAGTGATTTTTTGGTTTCTTTAGACCTAGTCTGACTTTATGTGGGTCCAGACAGGAAGTAATGATTTAAAGAGTTGATTTCATTGAACTCAGCTTAGCTGTTTACCTTTATTGTGAGTCCTTGTTAGAGGGAAAAAAAAGTTCGTTATGCTGAAACTACTTCATAATTGCTGAGTAGCAATATGTACAGAAGAGCACCCAGAAAGAACTTAAAATTACTAAGCCTTAGAAGCAAGACTGGGTTTTTGAGTTCATAAAAATATTTTCATGCTCGTTTTTCCTGTTAGATAAGGCACAAATCGTATAAGGAAAGAAAAAGTTCTTGCAAAGGGGTGAACAGTGGCATGGAAAGGAGACTGTGTCCTCTGGTGGTTTGCAGTGAAGGCCAGGCACCCTGTTGGTCTTTCAGGAAAGATTCAGTTTGAAGCTTCTTGGAGAGGCTTCTGCTTCACCCGTCTACACATTCAACTGCAGTGGTTTCCTGTAAGAGGCTTAGGAGAGGCAGTGGGAATCAGAGACAGTGTGTGTGTGTGAGAGCTCACCAGAGCCCAGGGTCCTGAGGAGCTCCAGACTGGCATACTGGCTGCTGGTTCCTGACCAAGAAACAGTTCTGATTATTTGATATTTACTTTGGCAGTCTAAGAAGAACCTGATGCAGCAGCCGCATCTGCCATTTCCTATCTGATCCCTGTCATTCTACCAGTTTGTTTCTGGTGGTGTTTTTTTTTTTCTTTAAAGTGAAAATAATCACTATATTTATCTTGCTTAACTGTTATCTTTCTTACAAATTTTTTTTAGTGGATTATCAAACACTTACACGGGAAAGTCAAACCATCACTGCCATGTGTCTGCATATGAAAAATCTTTTCCTATTAAGCCTGTTCCAAGTCCATCTTGGAGTGGTTCATGCCGTCGAAGTCTTTTGAGCCCCAAGAAGACTCAGAGACGACATGTCAGTACAGCAGAAGAGGTAAGGACACCTGCCGGGGGAGCTGCTGCAGGTCAGGCGCTCTCCGTGGAGCCATTCGAGCCCTCTGCTTAGATGGTCATTGGCTGTCTGTGTACCTAGTCCTTCCTGTGCTGTTTCTTAATGACCCTGTCTGTGTGCAGTCATGTGTTCTAAGGAAGTAAAGAGGTGTTTTAGCAGGACTTCAGTATTTTTCTCATCGTTCTTCTGAGGACAGCCAACTTGATCTTCCATGTTTCCTGAATGAATTGTCGTGTATCAGACTCTTTTTCTCTCTTCCCCCTTTTTACACACTTTCTGACTCTTGTTTTGTATAGCAAAACTGATAGCCTTGCTGTAAACAGTTGTTGTTGTTGTTTTAAAGATTTATTTACTTATTTGAAAGGCAGAGTTATAGAGGGGACAGAGGGAGAGAAATCTTCCATCTGCTGGCATCGCAGGTGGCAGGTTAACCTGCTGTGTCACAACAGCTGCCCCTCTAAACAACTTTTGTTTGATAAAATTTGAGTTGATAAAATACCTGCCCTTTTTACTAGGAGAAATTTTTCCTCAGTGTAAAAGAAAAATCAAGAATCAGCCCTTCAAATATGTTATGTCGACTCTTGGGTTTCCATAGTCCTCCAGGAGATGAGTGTAAAACAGCCTATAGCTTGCATGGTAGGGAGTATACTTATCTCTGCTCAGTTACATGTTTATTGTGCATCTAATCAGCTTTGGACTGGTTGCTGTGAAGATGCAAACAAATGATAATGACCTTACATTTGCATAGCATTATAGTTTCCAGTGTGTATCCTACTTTTTTTTTTTTTTTTTTTTTTTTTGACAGGCAGAGTGGACAGTGAGAGAGAGAGACAGAGAAAAAGGTCTTCCTTTGCCGTTGGTTCACCCTCCAATAGCCGCCGCGGCTGGCGCACTGCGGCCGGCACACCGCGCTGATCCGATGGCAGGAGCCAGGTACTTCTCCTGGTCTCCCATGGGGTGCAGGGCCCAAGTACTTGGGCCATCCTCCACTGCACTCCCTGGCCACAGCAGAGAGCTGGCCTGGAAGAGGGGCAACCGGGACAGAATCCGGCGCCCTGACTGGGACTAGCACCCTGTGTCCCGGCTCCGCAAGGCGGAGGATTAGCCTAGTGAGCCGCGGCGCCGGCCCTACATATATTATTTACAATTCCTTTAACCAAGTGAGGTAGGCAATTATGAGGTAACACCATATTTTAAAATTTGTGATGGGAAAGGTCAGAGATGACACAGCTCGGAGCAGTGGGTCTGGCACCAGCTCTTAGAGGTGTGTTTTCTGTTACCTGGCATGAGCATGCAAAGGAGTGTACTGAGCTTGGAGCCAGCAAGGTGGTACTGCATGCCAAACAGTTTGGTAATTGAAGATCGCATAGGCAGCAAAACTTGATTATCTGTGATATGGTTAGTAAAAATGCTAGGGAGCACAAGGAACACAGGCTGTGGGGAGGAGGTAGGAGCGGTGGGGTGCTGCCTGTGTGTTCACCTGGAGCCTGCCTTCCTCCCACCTGCCAGTCCTGTGGACCACTCAGCCTCACTTCCTTCCACCTCTGCCAGCCTGAGGACCTGAGGCTGATGTGTTTCACACTAGTAACCAATCCCTAGGCCACAGACTGGCCAGTGGAGAACAGGAAGCTAGAGTCTCTTCTTCCTGTGGCATAAGAAAGATGCTGAGGATTGAATCCTGTGAAGTAGAGAGGGCCAGGACATCCTGCCTCCGTTGTTTTTAGGTCGGTATTCTGCTTTGACAGGAAAATTACCTGTACTACAGAATAAACCATAAGAGAAAGACAGCGTGTTGTTGGGCTGCGTGTTAGGAAACTTGCAACCAATTTTTATATATTTGGTATTGGATATTACAGATAACCCATGCACAATGCTTATTTTCCCTGGATTGGAGAATTTTTTTATGGGAACTTATAAAATGGAGGAAAAGTTATTTTCCATGAAAATATTGGGGTCTCCCCTTTCTCTTTTCTCTCTCTGCCTCTCCTCTCTCTGTGTAACTCTGGCTTTCAAATAAATATAAATAAATATTTAAAAAAAGAAAAAAAGGACTGGTGCTGTGGTGCAGCAGGTAAACGCCCTGGCCTAAAGCGCCTATATGTGCACCAGTTCGAGACCCGGCTACTCCACTTCTGATCCAGCTCTCTGCTATGGCCTGGGAAAGCACCCACATGGGAGACCTGGAAGAGGCTCCTGGCTCCTGGCTTTGGATCAGCGCAGCTCTTGCCATTGCAGCCAATTGGGGAGTGAACCATCGGATAAAAGTCCTCTCTCTCTCTCTCTCTCTCTGCCTTTCTCTCTCTCTGCCTTTCTCTCTCTCTGCCTTTCTCTCTCTCTGCCTTTCTCTCTGTGTAACTCTGACTTTCAAATAAATATAAATAAATCTTTAAAAAAAAAAAGAAAGAAAATATTGGGATCTCCATGAAACATGCATTTATCCTAGGCTAAAGAAGGAAGACTATATTACTGTAGAGGTTGCATTTGTCCATCAGCTTCAAGATTATAAAACAATCTACTAAGAGTAATAATTAATTTGCGGCTACCCCCGCACCATTCAGTTTTCTTTCTTTCTTTCTTTCTTTTTTTTTTTTTTTTAAGATTTAATTCTTCATTTGAAAGGCAGAGTTACAGAGAGAAAGAGAGAGAGAGAGGTCTTCTATCCGCTGGTTCACTCCCCAAACGGCTGTAATTGCTGGGGCTGTGCCAGACTGGAGTCAGGAGCTTCTTCTGGGTCTCCCACGCGGGTGCGGGGGCCCAAACACTTGGACCATCCTCTGCTGCTTTCCTAGGTGTGTTAGCAGAGAGCTGGATCTGAAGTGGAGCAGCCGGGACATGAACCAGCACCCATATAGGATGCTGACCCTGCAGAGGTCAGTTTAACCCTCCGTGCCACCATTTAGTCTTGTGAGGGTTCAAGGACAACAAAGGAAGAATTTGGAAATGGGCACATGGTGGCTATGAGACAGTGTCTTGAAGGGCAGTTGTTAAGAGCGGTGTCATCCTGAGGGTGATCTGCAGCCACCAGCACAACTAGCTGATTCCAGTGAACTAAAATGACAAATCAATTAGTTTCTCTGTCACACTGGCCATGTTTCAAGTATTCAGTAGCCACACGTGGCTCCTGGCCATCATATTGGACAGGGCAGATAGCATTTTTGTTGTCACAGAAGTTTGTTGGCTAGGGCCTGGTGCTGTGGCATAGCAGGTAAAGCCGGCATCCTAAATGGGCACAGGATCAAGTCCCCGAAGCTCCACTTCTGATCCAGCTCACTGCTAATGGCCTGGGAAAGCAGCAGAAGATGGCCCAAGTCCGTGGGCCCCTGCACCTGTGTGGGAGACCCAGAAGAAGCTCCTGGCTCCTGGCTTAGATTGACCTCACTGTGGATGTTTCGACCATTTGGGGAGTGAACTAACAGATGGAAGACCTCTCTCTCTATGTTTCTCTGTCTCTTTCTGTAAACTCGGCCTTTCAAATAAAGAAACGAATCTTAAAAAAAAAAAAAGTTTGGGTAATGCTGTTAGAGTCTCTAAATTTCTGTTTGGAACAAGAAAATACTAGTGACAGTAAAAATTTTAAATGGTAAAAAAAAAAAAACAAGTAATTCTTTTCAGTTATGTGTTGCCAGAAACACTGCTTTGCGCCTTGCTGAGCAGCATTTGAGAGAGCTGGGCTTTGAGAGTGCCTGTCAGCAAGATTTTTCCTCTTGCAGTGTGCTATATAAACTAAGCATTTGGACTTAGCAGAAAATTATCAAATTGTGTACTTTTCATATAGGTTATTTAAACAAAATGAAATTTATTGTATTAAAATTAGATTAGGATAATTTTAATAAAATTGCTTACTAATTTCTAAAATTCATTTTGTGTTCTGTTAAATTGTTATAATTGAAGATATTTATAGTGGAGCCTTTTTAATAGAAGAATAGAAACATTTGCAGGAATCTGTTCTTTTTAAAATAAAATTCTGCACATTAATTATCCTTATGCTTCTAAAAACTTTTCTTGGTTCTTCATTAGTCCAGCTCTCTGCTGTGGCCCCGGAAGGCAGTGGAGGATGGTCTAAGTGCTTGGGTGCCTGCACCCGCACGTGAGACCGGCAAGAAGCACCTGGCTCCTCGCTTCGGATTGGCGCAGCGCCGGCCGTAGCGGCCATTTGGGGAGTGAACCAGCGGAAGGAAGACCTTTCTCTCCTCTTTCTCTCTCTCTCACTGTCTATAACTCTACCAGTCAAAAAAAAAAGATCCTTGTGACCTCTACATTACACTGTTCTACATGTAGAACAGTGAAAAGTCCTCATCCTGATATGCTCATAAATCAGCTTGAACTGAAGGCACGGTGCTTCAGATGCATGGGGTTTCATGACGAGGCCTCTGCAACACGGTGCTGTATTCCTGTTCAGGTAGCCTCATCTGTGACTCTGGGGTTGTTGGACTCAGAAGCTTTTCTTTTTCTTTCCTTTTTCCCCCCCTCAGATTTATTTTAAGGAGTTACCGAGAGAGGGATCGTCCATCCTTTGTTTCACTCCCCAAATGGGCCAGGAAGGCCTGGGTCAGGCCAGAGCCAGGAGCTTCTTCTGGGTCTCTCACATAGGTTTTGGTGCCTAAGCACTTTGGCCATCTTTTACTGCTTTCCCAGGGAGCAAGATCTGAAGTGGAGCAGCCAGAACTAGAACCAACACCCATATTGGATTCCAGTGTCCAAGGTGGCAGCCTCACCCTCCACACCACAGAGCCAGCCCCAGAATTTTTCTTCAAAGATATGTGTGTTGGTGGAAATGATTTGAGGGGACTTGGGTGTGTTAAGTTAACTTCTACACTGAATTAATTTTTCATAATATTCATTAGCAAAGTCACTTCATGATCTCTTGGTTCTTGTCATACTTAAAAGTGTAAAAGTTTGTTTAAACATTTTGCTATGTGATGTGAGGAAGAAGTGTTTTTTAACTTCTGTGATGGATGTCTTTAAGGGTAGCACAGAGACCCTTTCTGTTTTACTTTTTCAGTCTTCTCTGGAGGTCTTTCAGAATGGGAATGATTTTTTTTAAGCATTCCCCTGGTACTAAAAGGTACTGTGCAGAGTACCCTCTCACACCAGTCTGTCCACCTTGCTCTCCTCTCTTAAGTGATAGTCAAAGTTTTCTGTCTTTTTGACACTGCTGTGAAAATGAACTAGAGTTCATGGGTAATAGAGTTCCTTTCCATGAACCACATAGCCTGGCTTTCCCTTCTCTAGCTCACTGCCCCTGAATCCCTTGCTACCCTGTGGTATTGTGATTACATGATTTTTTGTAGTGGAAAAGTAAAATCAGTATTTATATGGAAGGCATTCCAAAGCTCTGGTCAGTGCCAGATAGCACCACCTTTCTGTTTATAAATCACAGCTCAGTCAATCGTGATCTCTCACAACCTAACAGTCTGCACTGTTGCTTCGTTTTGCTGTCTGCTTAAAGCACTTTCATGTTGATAGAGCATAGAGATCCCCCGGTCTCTGGTTCATTCCCCAGTGTCACACAGCTGCCATTGCTGGGCCAGGCTGAAGTCAGAGAACTCAATCCTTGTCTCCCACATAAGTGGCAGGAACTCAACCACTTGAGTCATCACTGTTGCCTCCCAGTGTGCGCAATTAGCCCGAAGCTGGGTCTGAAGCAGAATGGCGACTGGATCCCAGGTCCCCTGATACGAAGTGCAGGCGTCCCAGGTGATGTCTGAACTGCTGCAGTCTAACACCAGTCCCCAGTTCTTCATTTTCTGGTCCTGTAGCTATGCGTGGTGAAGGGTAATGCTCCCGAGGGGATTGCCATGCCTCACAGTTGAGCCGTATTCTAGTAGGTGAGCAACATGGTACTGACAGTACAGTTGTCATTTACTGTGTAGCAAAATAGATGTCCATGTGTATGTACATGTACACAGGAGAAGCTTAGCACCTACTTAGCTTTGTACAGTTAATTGCTTAATTATTTTCTGTTTTTATCAGGCATTTATAATGGAGTAAGATGCTTATGTTACAGTGCAAATTGCTAATTTCGGCACAGTTTCTGAAATTATTTTTCTGTGTTTATGTAAGGAAAAAACGCTGGGGCCTGTTAGTTCGTGCAGTTGCCCAGTGCTTCAGGGGTCTGTGTAGAGGCCTCACCAGTGCTGAGAGTCCCTGCAGACTCTGCTCATCCTCGCTAGCGTTACACCTCTTGCACAGCTCTAGCACTTGCCTCTGGGCTTTCCGTGTGCTCTTCCTCTACCTGGAATACCCCTTCGTACACTTAAGTGACTCCCTCGGTGTGTCTGCTGAAACACCACCTTTTACCGAGAGATCGCAGCCCTTCCTGAAGTCCCCTCTGTCACTCATGGTCCCTGCTGCCTGATTGGGCGTCTTCATCTGTCAGTCCCTTTAACCTGCCACACAAGCTCCCCAGGGCAGGAGCCTTGTTTTACTCAGTAGTGTCGCCGATGACTGGAGCGTGGTGGGTGTCACAGTCAACATGTGAGTGTCAGGGATTGTGTGATGTTCTCTGACTTTAGCATTGAGACTTACAGGAGAACAGAAAGTAAACATGAGGGTGCTTTTGAAAGTTCATAGAAAAAACAATTAGAAGATACTTTGGTGCAAAAAAGTTGTGAACTGCATTGTTTTTTCATAATTAACATTTTCATGATTGTTTTGAATGCCCCAGGGGTTGCGACATTTTTTCACCAAGATAAACTTTTCCTTGAAGTTTTTGAAGTGCTCTTGTGAGTGCTGAAGATGAAAGTCAGGTCTGGAAAGCGCTGTGCTTGGGTGGAGTGGGGCACTGTGGGCGAGCTCTCCCATCCTAACTGATTGTGTCTGCTCTGCTTACTTTCTTGTGTTTCTAGCAGGATCTCAGGAGCCAAGGGATTTGTTGAGATCTTACTGTGGAGGTCCTCACATGTTTTCATTGTAGGACTCTGTCCTTTGGCAAAAATGACTAGCCTTCTGGTTTCATACCCTATAGTCTGTGTACTCTCACGTGGCTGCCGCATAATATTCCAAAGTATACTGTTACTTACTTTACTCAATTCCTCTTCCACATGTTTCATAATTTTCTAGAATACCCTTAACGTACTGTGTTTCTCAGTCATCTTCATGGCTGTGCCTGAGTCTTGGCCAAGCTTCTGGGACCCCATCTGGATGATCCTTTGAGAAGTACTTGCATCATTGAATTGTGTAAAAGTTTTGTTTTCTCCCACAGACAGTTCAAGAAGAAGAAAAGGAGATCTACAGACAGCTGCTACAGATGGTCACAGGGAAACAGTTTTCTGTAGCAAAACCCACGACACATTTTCCTTTGCACTTGTAAGTTGCAGAAGTACATTTCAGATGAATTTGATTCTACAGTTTGTTACCTGATAGTCAAACTATTTTCTTCTTTTGCTAGGTCTCGATGTCTTAGTTCCAGTAAGAATGTTTTGAAAGACTCACTATTTAAAAATGGAAGCTCTTGTGCATCTCAGATAATTGGCTCTGATACTTCGTCCTCTGGATCTGCCAGCATTGTAGCTGCACAAGAACAGCCACCCCACAGTGTGTGTTCCCTCTCCTCTTACACCCCAGATGTTGTTATATTTGGATCCAAAGATCCAGACCCTCTTCATCAACCCCTCCGTCATCACCCTCTTCCACATCAGCCAGACAACTTACCAGCTTCAAATTCACAATCTGAAGGTAAAAATGGTGTTGCACCACTACATTTTTAATTTAATAGCCAACTAACTATTTTGCATCTATCACAGGCAACATTATAATACACATATAACTTAAATAGCATATAAGATACTTTAAATATAGTTCATTCAGCTGACCGTTGCCATGAGTAAACTAAACCTACAGAGTCTTGTTTTCTTCCATTGAGATGCAGTGATTTGTTATAATTTTTTTTTTTGGTTCATATTTGCCTTGTTCCATTCCTTTGTTTTTATTTGTCCTACCCTTTTTAAAAACTTGTCTCTTCCAGACTGTGTATTGCTAGATCATACGTTTTAATTCAGTGTGGGAATTGTCTTTCGATGAGTAAATCACTTTCACGTTAGAGCTTTGCATTTCCCTTTACTTTGTATTTTTTTCTTTCTTTATTTCCTTGAACAGATCATTTTTTTCCTATGGTTTTGAAAGAGCTTTGCATTTCCCTTTACTTTGTATTTTTTTCTTTCTTTATTTCCTTGAACAGATCATTTTTTTCCTATGGTTTTGAAAGACATGCACCTTCTTCCGAGTCTCCCACGTGGGTGCAGGGAGAAAGCATCTTCTACTGCTTTCCCAGGCCATAGCAGAGAGCTGGATTGGAAGAGGAACAGCCGGGACTAGAACTGGTGCTCATATGGGATGCCTGCACTTCAGGCCGGGGCTTTAACCCACTGCACCATATTGCCAGCCCCAATTTGATATAATTTTTAAAAAGATTTACTTAATTATTCAAAAGAGTTAAAGAAAAGGAAAGAGGGAGAGAGAAATCTTCCATCTGCTAGTTCACTCACCAAATGGCTGCAATGGCCACTTGTGCCAATCTGAAGCTAGAAGCTAGGACTTTCTTCCAGGTGCAGGGTCCAAGCACTTGGGGTGTCTTCTGCTTTACCAGATGCATTAGCAGGGAGCTAGATCAGAAGTGAAGCAGCCAGGACTCGAACCATGCACATACGGGATGCCAGTGCTACAGGAGGCAGCTTTACCCACTATGCCATAGCCCCGGCCCCTGTAAATTTTTTTTTAAATGGTAAACAGTTACTTTTTTTTTTTTTTTAAGATTTTATTTTATTATTTACTTGACAGCTAAAGTTACAGAGAGAAAGGTCTTCTGTCCTCTGGTTCACTCACTAGATGGCCTTAACCTTTGGAGCTGGGCTGATCCAAAGCCAAGAGCCAGGAGCTTCCTCCAGGTCTTGCACGCAAGGGCAGGGGCCCAAGCACTTGGGCCGTCTTCTATTGCTTTCCCAGACCATAGCAGACAGCTGGATCAAAAGAGGACAATCTAGGAACCCGCACCCATATGGGATGCCGGCACCACAGGCTGAGGCTTGGCCCACTATGCCACAGGGCTGGCCCCCCTATGATATTTTAAGAACTGACTAGGGGCTGGCACTGTGACAGAGCGGGTAAAGCTGCCGCCTGCAGTGCCAGCATCCCATATGGGCACCGGTTCAAGTCCCAGCTGCTCCACTTCCAATCCAGCTCTCTGCTATGGCCTGGGAAAGCAGTAGAAGATGGCCCGAGCCCTTGGGCCCCTGCACCCATGTAGGAGACCCGGAAGAAGCTCCTGGCTCCTGGCTTCAGATCGGCACAGTTCAGGCAGTTGCGGCTGATTGGAGAGTCGACCAGCGGATGGAAGACCTCTCTCTCTCGGTCTCTCTGCCTCTCCTCTCCTCTTTGTAACTCCGGCTTTCAAATGAACAAATCTTTTTTATTTATTTATTTATTTGACAGGTAGAGTTGACAGTGAGAGAGAGAGAGACAGAGAGAAAGGTCTTCCCTCCTTTGGTTCACCCCCCAAATGACCGCTACGGCCGGTGCTGCGCTGATCCAAAGCCAGGAGCCAGGTGCTTCTTCCTGGTCTCCCATGCAGGTGCAGGGACCCAAGCACTTGGGCCATCGTCCACTGCCCTTCCGGCCACAGCAGAGAGCTGGACTGGAAGAGGAGCAGCCGGGACTAGAACCCGGCACCCACATGGGATGCTGGTGTCGCAGGTGGAGGATTAACCTAGTGAGCCATGGCACCGGCCAGATCTTTAAAAAAAAAAAAGAACTGACTTCCTGAGCAGAGTCTGGAGTCACAATATACAATATATTCAGCCCAATTTCTTCAGCACTTTCTCTGTTTTTGTTACTTTGCAATGAAAATGAAGTGCTCTGAGGTTTTTGAAATTTTGAGACATCAAGTGAGTATTATAAATACTTAAGTATATAAAATACTGTACCTCCGTAGTGGGTTTATGCATCTTAGAATTGTTGTCAGCAAGTTTTAGAAACAAAAGCAGTCTTTATCTAACTTTAAGTTAACCAGAATATTTAATCTCTTAGTATTCCAGGTAAGATTTTACTGTGGCAGGGGCTGGTGCCGTGGTTCACTTGGTTAATCCTCCGCCTGCGGCACTGGCATCCCATGTGGGTGCTGGGTTCTAGTCCCGGTTGCTGCTCTTCCAGTCTAGCTCTCTGCTGTGGCCCGGGATGGCAGTGGAGGATGGCCCAAGTGCTTGGGTGCCTGGACCCACGTGGGAGACCAGGGAGAATCACCTGGCTCTTGGCTTTGGATTGGCATAGCTCCATGCATAGCGGCCATTTGGGGGGGTGAACCAACGGAAGGAAGACCTTTCTCTCTGTCTCTCTCTCTCTCACTGTCTAACTCTACCTGTCAAATAAATTAAAAAAAAAAAATGATTTTACTGTTGTGGGTTTCTTTGTTTTCTTAGTTTCCTCTTCCTTTGGATACATGGTGTACATATTTGTTATGTAGTTAGGTGCATAACTTAAAACAGGTTTTGATGTTGCGACCTTGGCTGATGGAGCACTCTCTTGGATACTATCCTTTCCTTCATCACATTCTGAAAATTCTCATTTAGGGATTAAAATTTTTGGTGGCATCATTGTATAGCCACAGATACTCGTGAACACGTGAATTTCATTTTGTGAGGTGATTTCCTGTGAACTGTCGTTTAAGAAAAGCCCGGAATGCTCTTTAACTTCATAAATGTACTTTGTGTGGCAGATGTTTAGACACAGGTAACCTGGAGCAAGTGCACTGCAGTGCAGTGTGTGGTTCCCTCTTTGTGCGATTTGTTAAATACTCTGAATGAGGTTCTGCTCATAGCACTGTGGGATTCCTGTCACAGAGAATGAATGATAGATTCTGTATATTTTTTTTTTTAATCTGCTTCTTTAGACTCTTCCTGTAGTGCCATTTCTTGCTCCTCCTCCTCCCTCTTCACTCCACAGCCCCTCCCTTCTCCTTCTCTTGCTCCTCATCAGTCTCACGGCGGATGATACACGAAAGCCTTTGAAGACATCCTGATGAGGCCTTTTCCACATAAAGAGAGAGGAAGCAGCCGAGGAGTATGTGCTCAGGGATAAACATGCTTGTGTCCAGGTGGCTTCCGTCCTTGTGAAGCAGGCCCACTCTGGTCTCCTGCCTCTCTCTGTCTCTCTGTCTCTCTCTCTCCCTTTCCCATCCTATCTTTGTCCTTAGATGTTATGCTGCTTTTATATTCATAAAATATCAAAGAGTTGTGAAAATAGAGTGTAACAAAGTATGAAAACTTAAACTAAGACGTGTACAAAGTGTTAGCTGTGTGGAGTTCTGCTAGTAATGAGATGCTCTTGTGTTTCTTTGTTTAGGATCAGACTCTGTGATTTTACTCAAAGTGAAAGATTCCCAGACTCCCACTCCCAGGTAATTCTGGAAAAAGGTCTTCTTACTGTTTTTCCTCTCTTTACGCGTGTTTTCTTCACTGCCTGCGTTCAGATCTGTTGTGTGTTGTTTGGGTCATTTCAGTGACTTTGTAACTGATCTTGCATCCTGTAGACAGATGGAGCTTTCATTCATGAGATTCCTTTGATGGTCATCTGTTAAATCCCTTCGGGGTTGGCCTCTTGGGTGTCGAGTTAAGACCAGACTCTGAAATGGGTGTGCAGAGCAATTCTACCACAGGTCTCACTTTCCGTCCTGCATCCTTTGCTATAGTAGGTGTTTGTTGAGTACCTGCTGTGTGCGGAGGACAAGCTGAAGTGCCTGCTCTCCAAGAGGTGGCATGTTAGTCTAGGGTAATATTGGGGAACAGATATTGAACATGGAAGTCTTCTGCAAGTTTGTGGAAAATGTGTTACAAAAGAACTCTGCATGTATTTCAAAGTTTTTTGCACCAAAATGAACTTACTTTCTGATTCTGTTTTCCCACAACCTTTATGAGGTGCTGTCATGTGCTTGGTAGTATGTGCTGTGAAGGAAACAAGCCTCGGATTGGGTTCACAACCTAGGTGCTCAGGGCAAGTCTAGGATCCCGGAACATTTGACCAGAGAGAGCCATGTGGAAATGTGGGTCTCTCTGTCCCTCTCTTTCTTTTCTTTCAAAGTTTATTTTGTTTGGAAGGCAGAGGGGCAGATCCTCCATATAGTGGTTCACTGTCCAAATGCCCACAACAGCCAGGGCTAGTCCAGGCTGAAACTAGGAGCCAGAATCTCCCTCAGGGTCTCCCACATGGGTGGCAGGGGCCCAAGCACTTGAGCCATCATCAGCTGCCTCCCAGTGCATTACCAGGAAGCTGGACTGGAAGCACAGAGTAGCTGGGACTCAAACCAGCACTAAAGTTTGGGATGCAAGCATCCCAAGCAGCAGCTTAACCCACCATGCCACAACATCGGCCTCTGTGTCACACTCTTGTGTGCTGAGTTGCTTTCAGTTTCTGAGTGTGGTATTCATTTTGTGGCCTTCACATTCTGTGGTCCCTCTGTGTGGAATATGCTCTCTTCCTGAGCTTGTGTATCTGGAAGTAGTCATCTTTTTAAGTCTCCACTCATTTGTGGGCTTCTGTGGATGAAGCCTTACTTCTCAGGGAGGGATCAAGTATTTTCTCATCTGTAACCCAGTAGGTCACTACTTAGGTTGCTATGCCTTTGCCACATACGGGTTTTCCCTTGAGAAGGTTAGCGGTCACTCAACAGTCTTCCTCATTTCAGTTCCCCTACTTCTTGGTGGCTCCTGTGTATGTTCTGAGTGTTTGATATTTTTAAAAATTCTTTGTTTGTTAAGTCAGAGAGATGTTATAGTTTGGATTCCTTATTTCTGAAGTCAGACCTGGCTTCTGTTCTCAGCCTTAGGTAACTTTGGTCAAGTTAAATTTCTTTGATAAGGAAACCAAGGGGATAGGCTCCCGTAACGTCAGTGACAATAGGGAGGCATTAGAAGGGTAGCATTTCGGGGCTGGCGCTCTGGCAGTGCCCGCATCCTGTACAAGCGCTGGTTTGAGTCTCGGCTGCTCCATTTCCAATCCAGCTCTCTGCTGTGGCCTGGGAAAGCAGTAGAAGATGGCCCAAGTCCTTGGGTCCCTGCATCCATTTGGGAAGACCCAGAGGAAGCTCCTGGCTCCTGGCTAAGGATTGGATCGGCTCAGCTCCGGCCGTTGTGGCCAATTGGAGAGCGAACTAGCAGATCGAAGATCTCTCTGCCTCTCCTTCTCTCTGTGTAACTCTGACTTTCAAATAAATACATACATATTAAAAACAAAAAAAAGAAGGGCAGCATTTCTCTTGCCAAAGCCCAGCCACAAGATGATTGGGAAAAAGAGCTTAGTTGAGAAAAAAAGCTTACAAGAGTTAGGCCAAAGAGCCAGGGAGGCCTGGGAGCCCTTGTGCTTGCTCTCACAGAGACAGGTTTTAGACATCGGAGAGCTGAAAAGGACTGTAGTCACCATATCTTACAGATCTGGAAATTGGAGACCATGGAAGTGACTGGCTCAGAATCCCAAAGCTAATTAGGGGCAGCTCCAGGACTCCACATCTCTTAACTCCCAGGCAGACATTCTGTTCGCTTGTTTCCTCTGGAGAAGTGTTTGTTGGTCTTCCATGTGTTTCTCGTAGATTTCTTTAGTTGGGGGTTTTCAAGGAGTTGGGGAAATTTGAGAAAAGCAAAGACCCTAGGACAGTTCACATGTCTGTGACTCTGCTGAGCACCAGGTGACCAGAACTGTCCACAAGAGCCCTGTGGAGCAGTATTGGCCTTTGTCTTGGAGTGGGGTGTGTTGCAGACTCCCTGCCCTCGCTCACTGGATCATTCGCTGTTGGAACGGGTGATTTTGTGGCTTGATTGGGTCCCTTTTGGTTCAGTTAGACTAGCAAAAAGCCCACGAACCCTTAAGAGTTGGTTAGATCCTGAAGGACTCTGTTATTCTGGGTCCTTGGGAAAAGTAACATTGTAGCCAACATCTTCTCTTGAGAAGTGTTTTGCTCTTCTGCATATTGTGGGCCTCTCCTGTGAGTAGGGAACAATGCTAAACTTAATTTCTCTGCTAAAGTTTGGGTCATCTTTTTACTAATATGTATGCAAATGATTAATATTTGCATCCATTATTCCAGGTTCCATCATTTAGGTAGCTTTTATTTGTTCTGTACTTGTAAAATGTTCTTATAAACTATTGAATGATGGCTGTGATTGGTGAAATATGTGGATTTTCTCAGAAGCTGCATGTTCATTTTTCACACTTTCTTCCCCTCTCCCTCCCATAGCCCAACTTTCTTCCAGGCAGAGCTGTGGATCAAAGAATTGTAAGCAGTTTTTTATACTATTTTTCCTTCTCAATCACTTCACTTCAGTCAATAAGTGTTACCAATTAGGTTGTTGACTTTTTAGAAATTTTATTGTAAATGATATAGTTGTATACTCAGGTTTATTAAAACTATAACAATTGTTGAAGCTAAATTGAACTGGAAGATGTTTCAGAGTTAGCTACCATGTAGGAAGGAAAGTAAACACCCTTATTTGACATTGGTGAAACTGATTTTTTTGAATAAGTAAAGTTTGTGGAGTTTTCAAAATCACTGGAAGCCTTTAGTGTCCAATTTCAAGAACCTGAGTTATCCAGACCTCCTGGTCTTGGTGATTTTTTTAAAAATCAAAATATAACATTTAAATTAAAATCTCAGTGTCATCTTCTCTGATTTTTGTAATTTTTCCATAAAAATGGAAGAATTTCAGTTGTACCATATGGTTTCAGCACAGCGCCGGCCCCAGTGTATGGTTCTATGAGGGGATAAACGTTTGTGTCTCTTCCCTTTTCTTTCCCTAGAACTAGTGTTTATGATTCTCGAGCACGGGAAAGGTTGCGCCAGATTGAAGAGCAGAAAGCACTGGCATTACAGCTTCAAAACCAGGTGACCAGTCAATCAGTCAGTCGGTCATGCGGGGTAGACTTAGAAACATCACATCCAAACTGAACCTGTTCGGGAAGAGTTACTTAGTTGTGAATAATTTACTGTTTAATTGCACAGTGTATTATATCTTTCTAGCCAGTAATATGCAGTGTGCCCGAGACAAATAGTGGATTTCTTTATCCCACTTACTCTGAAGTTCTGTCTTCCAGAGACTGCACGAGCAGGAGCATTCAGTTCATGACTCAGTAGAACTGCGTCTTCGTGTACCTCTTGAGAAGGAGATCCCTGTCACGATCGTCCAAGAAACAGAAAAGAAAAGTCATAAATTAACTGACAGTGAAGATGAATTTCCTGAAATTACAGAGGTGAGTTACATACTGTGGATTCCTGTACCAGTAAGTATTTATTCTGTTCAGAAAGAATGCTTTGGGGTCAGCACTGTGGCATAGCAGGTAAAGCCACTGCCTGCGGTGCCAGCATCCCATATGGGCGCCCGTTCGAGTCCTGGCTGCTCCCCTTCTGATCCAGCTCTCTGCTACGGCCTGGGGAAGCAGTAGAAGATGGCCTGAGTCGTTGGGCCCTTGCACCGGCATGGGAGACCTGGAAGAAGCTCCTGGCTCAGGGCAACAGAGATAGAGAGGCAGATCTTCCATCTGCTGCTTCCTTCCCCAAGTGGGCACGACAACCAAGTCTGGGTCAAGCCAAAGCCAGGAGCCAGGAAGGCCGTTCTGGTCTCCCACATGGATGGCGGGGTCCAAGTGCTTGGGTCATCATCTGCTGCCTTCCCAGGAGCATTAGCAGGAAACTGGGCTGGAAGCAGAACAGGCAGGACTCGAGCTGGTACTCCTGTAACCTCCTGTGCTACACCACCAGCTGCTAAAAGATACTTTTCTGACTACCTTACTGCCTTTTGTGAAAGCTGCTTTTTCTCAGGGAGTCTTTTGGACCAGAAACAGAAAATACAGTTAAGTCATCTCTTAGGCTTAGAAAATTCAATAGCAAATTTAGACTTCAAGAATTAATTTGAGGGCCGGTGCCGCGGCTCACTAGGCTAATCCTCTGCCTTGCAGCGCCGGCACACCGGGTTCTAGTCCCAGTCGGGGTGCCGGATTCTGTCCCGCTTGCTGCTCTTCCAGTCCAGCTCTCTGCTGTGGCCGGGAGTGCAGTGGAGGATGGCCCAGGTGCTTGGGCCCTGCACCCCATGGGAGACCAGGATAAGTACCTGGCTCCTGCCATCAGATCAGCGCGGTGCGCCGGCCACGCCGGCCATTGGAGGGTGAACCAATGGCAAAAGGAAGACCTTTCTCTCTGTCTCTCTCTCTCTCTCTCACTGTCCACTCTGCCTGTCAAAAATAAATTAAAAAAATTTAAAAAAATAGAATTAATTTGAGGCCAGCGCCGTGGCTCACTTGGCTAATCCTCCGCCTGTGGCGCCAGCACCCCGGGTTCTAGTCCTGGTTGGGGAGCCGGGTACTAGTCCCGGTTGCTCCTCTTCCAGTCCAGCACTCTGCTGTGGCCCGGGAGGGCAGAGGAGGATGGCCCAAGTACTTGGGTCCCTGCACCTGCATGGGAGACCAGGAGGAAATACCTGGCTTCTGGCTTTGGATCGGCACAGCGCCGGCTGTAGTGGCCGTTAGGGGAGTAAACCAACGGAAGGAAGACCTTTCTCTCTGTCTCTCTCTCACTGTCTAACTCTCTCTCTGTCTCTCTCTCTCTCTCACTGTCTAACTCTGCCTGGCAAAAAAATTAAAAAAAATTTTTTTTAAAGGATTAATTTGAGGGGGCAGGCGCTGTGGTGCAGTGGGTTAAAGCCCTGGTCTGAAGCACCGGCATCTCACATGGGCGCCAGTTCGAGACCTGGCTGCTCCACTTCCAATCCAGCTCTCTGCTATGGCCTGGGAAAGCAGTAAAAGATGGCCCGAGCCCTTGGGCCCCTGCACCCATGTGGGAGACCCAGAGGAAGTTCCTGGCTCCTGGCTTGGGATCGGCACAGCTCCGGCTGTTGTGGCCATCTGGGGAGTGAACCAGCAGATGAAAGACCTCTCTCCCTCCCTCCCTCCCTCCCTCCGTGCCTCCCTCTTCTCTCTCTGTGTAACTCTGACTTTCAAATTAAAAAAAAAAAATCTTAAAAAAAATTAATTTGAAGCAGAATCTGAATGCGTTCTGAAAAAGAGAAGGGAGGATCAGATGGTTTGGAAGAATAGGAACCAGAATGTTAAATGGAAGTAAATTGATTAACAGCAAATTGATAAACTGTTGCTTAGTTTATTGTTGTATAGTCTGTGGATTGTGCGTGGCTGGGTGAAAAGCCTGTTTTGTTCAAAGCCATGTACTTGCGTATGTTTAATCTCTGACACCTTTTGGTTCCTTTAGGAAATGGAGAAAGAAATAAAGAATGTATTTCGTAATGGCAACCAGGATGAAGTTCTCAGTGAAGCATTCCGTTTGACTATTACCCGCAAAGATATTCAGACTCTAAACCATCTGAATTGGCTCAATGATGAGGTATTTCTACACTTGTTTTTATAGACAACTAGGAAGTGAACATGAGGTAGAAGCTGAATTAAGACGGTATCTCACTGTTTGTTAAGAGGTGGTCCTCAGGTGACCTGTGCGAAACCCCTCTCAGCCCTCTCCCTTCTCCTCAGGCTGAGGCCATGTCGGGGAGCCAGGTGTTGGTGACAGACATCTCAGTTGATTTATGTGCACTTTGAAGTCTTGAAAACATTGAATTTACTTTTTCTTACAGTAACATTTGTACACTGAGGGAGAGCTCACTCACTCATTTGTGTTCTCATGTTTTTTTAAAGCACCTACTGAGCAAATTGCCTCTTCTGAGCAAATATGTAATAGTTGACCATGTTGCAGCACGAAGGAAAACGTTGGGACTTTTCTATAGGGATAAGTCGATACGTCCCTTTGTGTGTCTACTTGTTTTAGCTCATTTACATTATGAATGATGGATTTTTCTAAGATAGCCTCCATTTGTACATGGTATTTTTTTAGACTGCTACTGAAAAAGTTACACTCTAACTAAATAGTGCAAGAAAAAGTAAATCAGGATCCTCACCTTCCAATTTCAGTTACTTTAAGTTTGTTGATTACACTACAGTCCTTAAACTGATGTGTCCTATCCCTAACCCTGTAGGAGCACTCTGCGTCTCACAGGGTTGTTTTTACAACAAAAGAGGAAAACGGGCTGGGCTACCTTTTCCTGAATACCCCCTCTCCTAGGCCTCTGGGAGTGTCCTTGCCTGATATCCGTTGTGTACTCAGACCTCACAGCTGTGGCAGGTTTTTGCTTTGTCAGAGTAGTAAGCACCAGACATTCCAGAGACCCAAGTCCTTTTCTTGTGTGCCCACAGCGATCTAAGTAATGGAGTTGGAGCATAGATTTTGAGCACATGTTACCTCACGGGCACTATTCTAAGTGGGTCTGTATTCTGCTTTTGGAATACTCACCACACCCTTGGACGTAGATATTGTCGTCTCATCATCTCCATTCTACAGATAGAGAAACAAGGTGATACAGCCAGTAAGTAGCAGAGCCAAGATTCAGACCAAACTGTGTCATATTGCCTCAGAATCTTACATTGGATTCTGTCTCAAAATGAGATGTACAGAATTTAGGATCTGTGTTTCACATACATGGTATTATTGATTTTCTCTGGGGCCCGGTGGACTAGCTTCCATCTCTTTGCCACTGATCAGTTTATAACATGAAAGGTTCCGAAGTTCATCACTCCCTAATATTTATGACCCAGAACCGTAGTGAAGGCTTGGTTTGGTATTGTCTTTCTTTGGAGGAAGTTCCCCTTCTTTTGGCTCATATATATATTAGAAGATTGAGTCAAATCATAGGGGGAAAAAAAGAGCTTACCAAATCAAAAGGGGAATTAAAAATCCAGAATAATCAAAAGTGTCCTCTCATAAATTGTTCTTGATCTTGGGTCTTTTGCCATTTTTTTGCCTGCCACTGTTGGAGAGGGAGATTTAAAGGGATTGTTGCCTGTTTGCAGTGGTTTCTGTAGAACCTGCTAGGGGGCACCAATGAGCAGGGTCTGAGCTGATGCTGTTGCCTGTGGCAGTTGCCTGGATGAGGAGCAACAGCCACCGGGACAATTTCCCCATTCCTTGGACCGGCAGAGGCTGGGTTTCTAGCTTGCAGAGGAGATGAGAGGAAAGAGAGGTTCCTTCTGCTTTATCCCTTCCACATTACCCATACCTTTTTAGGGAGGGCTTTTCTTCTGAATTCAGAATAATGTTAACCTTCAAAGTGTCCCGGCTGATCGTGAAAAGTATGTCTGAAAGTACCACACCTCTCAGGCTGTAGTTAGTGCCCTGCAGAAGCTACCTTGTGATGGAGTGTTAGTGCTAAAGTGCTGGTACACACTTATAGACACTTAATTCTTTTTCTCAATTGTGAACTCAGTCTCCTTTTGAAAGTACTTTGCCCTCTCTTAAGTCCTATTCTTCCCTCAAATAGATGTTTTCATTGATAAACCATTCCCTCTTTATATGTATCTTGTCAGTTTCACAGGACATATTAAAGCTTTTCCCAAAATAAGCTGCTGATATACTATGCTTTACATTTTATAGTTGAGGAATATGAAACCAGGAATTCAAAGAGTTAGATTTCACTTCCAGAGAAAATAAAATCCAAAAACCTTACATTTGATGTATATGTACAGAAAGCCATTAGGATAGATACCCTTTCTCTGGTCTCTTTCCTAACAGAAGAACATACTGCAGTGCCTGTGCCTGTAATGCGTTCAAACTTTTTTTTTTTTTTCTTTTCTGTGAGAGCAAGGATTTAGCTTAGTGATTGTGACACCTGCATCCCACGTCGGAATGCCTGGGTTTGATTCTTAGCTTCAGGTCCTGACTCCACCTTCCTGCCGATGCAGTCCCTGGTGATGGCTCAGGTGATTGGGTTCCTGAGACCCATGTGGGAGACCTGGATTGTGCTGGGCTCCTGGATTTGTCCCCAGCCCAGGCCTGGCTGTTGCAGGCATTTGTAGAGTGAACCAGCAAATGAGAACTCTGTCTGTCATTCTTTTGCTGTCTTTCTGACTCCCAAATAAATTAAAAAATTTTTTTCTTGAATAGGTTTATATATAAGGAATTTGGTTAAATTCTGTATAGTTTCAAAGGACTAATGATTAACGGGGTTGACATTTTACCTCAATATAAGAAAATCTGATTTCTCAAAAGTGGCCTGTAGAAACTGCATACCTTGGAAAGACTACAAAAGGCTGGAGGACTGATAAAATGAGAGGGAGGTTATAGATGGAGATTTTTGTGTGGATCAGGAGATCTGTTACTCATAGAAACATGTGATAGGTAGACAGGATAAGGTAAAAGAGAGAAGGAATTAGTTGTACAAGGAGACCATAAGTCCCAAGACACACAGGGAAATATTTCAAATGGCTGTCAATACTAGAAATTACCGAGTGACTCCCAGAGATTGAGTCCTGAGATGACCTCCGGAGTCCCTGGCTCTTAAAGAAGTGAAGTCAGTGAGCTGAGAAGCCTCCTGTGGGCTTTGTATTTCTGCTTGTGGCCAGGTGTCTCTGCAGCTCTGAGGCCAGTTTTTCAGAGCACTGGACAGATGTGGGCCTGACTCAGACGTGCAAGTCCAGGTCATAGTGTGACAAGGGACAAGAGTGACCCTTTCATTTGCAATGGAATGTTCAGATCCCACGTAACAGGCAATACAGAACAGCGGTTCCTGAGAGACTCTTGGTGAGTGAAGCAGTGTGATTTCTCCAGCCTGACAGAACTGTGCGTGGGAGCTCCCGAGTCTTTGGCAGAAACTGATTTGTGTGAGTATGAGAAGCAGCTTTAAAAGGCTGGGGATAAGACTGCCCCGAGATGGAGTCTGAGCGGTCTCCCGGCCAGCACAGGTGATGAGAACAGTTCATGTCCTAAGCAGTCAGGGAGGACATCCTGCTAAGTCAGTGGGTGTGGAACAGAGCCCTCCGGAGTGGGACTGCTCTGGACCCGCTGTGACACAACTTAGAAACAAGCCTCAGACTGGAAACTGACCAAGTGATGTGTGGCAGAAAACAACCGGCAATATTGAAAGGGCTACAGCAAAACCCAGCGGCATAAAATGCCCAGTGCCCAGCATCCAATAAAAAATTACCAGGTACACAAACAGGAACAGAAATGGGATTTAGGATCAGGGGAAAAATGAACCTCTAGAAGCACCCAGAAGTGAACAAAATGATAGAGCTGGCAAACAGTATCAGAGCAGGTATGAGAGGGTTACTCCAGGTGTTCAGGAAGGGGCAGAAAGCAGATGTTACCAGGAGAAGACTGTGGGCTGTGAAAGACTCACTTTGAACTTCCAGAGATGAAAGTGTATCTGGAATAAGAAAAGTACAAGCGGTGATATCAGTAATAGTACCTGTGCAATTCAGAAGAAAAAAAATTGTGAACTTGAAGATGGAGCATTGGAAACCATCTAAAATGAAACGGGAAAGAGCAAGAGAAAGGTGACACGAGCATCGGGCAGCTGTGAGTGGCACCCGGCCTCGAAGCAGAGAGAAGGGTGGGGCATGGGTGATAGCAGAAAAAGCGTTGGAAGAAGTAACCGTAGAGAATTTTCCAAATTTGAAACCAGTAAACTGGCAAATAGAAGAAATTCATTGTACTCCCAAGTAGCAGAAATACTACGTTAAAGTGTGTAATGGTCAAATTACTGAAAACCAAGTGATCAAGAGAAAAACATTAGGTGCAGCCACAGGGAAAAAGACATTAGGTATAGACGAACAAAGATAAGAATAAATTGAGTCAGAAACCGTGCTACCTCTTTAAACTCTTGGAAACCAGACAGGCCAGGGAGGAAGTCTGAAGGTAAAAAAGAGGTGTCCGCTTTCAAGAAATAAGCTCTCCTGTTTCAGACACACAGATGCTAAGAAAATTGATCACCAGCAGATACGTATAAGAAACCTTGTATTCTTAAATGTTTTTTTAAATTTATTTATTTTATTTTTGACAGGCAGAGTGGACAGTGAGAGAGAGAGAGAAAGGTCTTCCTTTACTGTTGGTTCACCCTCCAGTGGCCGCCACGGCCGGCACACTGTGCCAATCTGAAGCCAGGAGCCAAGTGCTTTTCCTGGTCTCCCGTGCGGGTGCAGGGCCCAAGCACTTGGGCCTTCCTCCACTGCACTCCTGGGCCACAGCAGAGAGCTGGCCTGGAAGAGGGGCAACTGGGACAGAATCCGGCGCCCCGACCGGGACTAGAACCCAGTGTGCTAGCGCGGCGGAGGATTAGCCCATTGAGCCACGGCACCGGCCGAAACCTTGTATTCTTTGAAGAGAAAGAAAATATCGGTCGGTCTACACAGAGGAAGGAGGAACTGTGGAAATGCTCTCGTTTTAAGACAGCTGACTGAAGCAGAACTGAAGCTACTCACTGTGGGGTCTATTTCACCAGCAAGTAAGATCGTCCGGGGTGGGACAAAGGAAGAAACAACAGACGTGTCTACTTCTGCTGT